GGAAGTTTTATTTCTTTTCGTTATAACAATGGAAACTATTTTAAACAATGGAAAAAAAATTGTGGAAGGCAATTTTTTTTTATTTTTGAAGTATATATATTTTATTGTAATTGTCATCCAATGAATTTGTTACATATTGCTCATGCGGACATATAAGTCTTACTGCATAATCAATCAGGCTTCTTGTGTTGTTTCAAGGTTTTTAGAAGTATATAGTTATTCATCTATCGTTCATTAAAAAATCCGAGAGTTGTTATTTTGTGGATAATAGATATATAATTAGATGAGACATATTGCAAATAAAAAGTTTCTATAATTTTTGCATGATTTTGATTATTTCTCGTTAATAGAATGGTAATATTCTCGGTATAATGATTTTCGTATTTATTATTATAATTTAGAGGAGCTTCATTTGAATTGAGAAAGAAATGGATAAAAAGGTTATTTAATTTTTTTTTTAATTTAAAAATATGAAAAGAAAAATGTTTCTTTCAATCAAAGAAGTATTTTTTTTTTTTTATTAATTAATACACTAAAAAATAAAATTTATTTGATTCAAGTAATTGGTTACTTGATTATTATCAAATATTTACTTGAACCGAATAATTTTTATTTGAATTAACTAAACTGTATTTGAAACAAATACAATTTAATTGACTCATATAATAATTAAATTAATATTTATTTGGTAATAAAGTAACCGATTACTTATTTGAATCAAATAAATTTTATTTTTCAGTGTATATATATATAGGAAAAATGAAATATATTGTAAATGAAAACAAAACCTAGCGGTAGCGTCTTTAACTAAAATATTCCCCTAGTGATGGCGTCCTCAACTAAAGTGCCCAATATTTAAAAATACATAAATATTAATGAATTTATAATAATTATTGATATTAATTATTATTAATTAATGTTAATTATTAATATTTATGGTCAAAAAATTTATTTATTTTAAAATTTATTTCGAAATAAAAATAAATAAAAAATAAATAAATATTTATTTGATAATAACCGATTATGTGAATCAAATAAATTTTTTTACAATCTTACACGAATATTATAATTAGATGAGACACACGGTAAATAAAAACCTATGATTTTTGCATGACGTTTTTATTTTCTCTTTAATAATATTATTTCTTAGTATATGACATTTGCGTCATCTGAATTTTTTTTTTTTTTTGTTATTTTTAAAGAGAAAAATTGGTCTAAAAAGTTTAATTGCATACATAGGTATTGTATATACATTCCTCAAGATTAAAGATAATGATCGCGCATTTTAGAAATCGTCGAAAGAACACGCCATTTATTTGAATGCGTGTAAATGGAAAACCTCGTTGCGCGACTATTTATACCTTTATTACAATATTGTAAAGTGTGGAAAGAAAAGGGAAATAAAATCGAGTCTCGCACACACGACTTGACTTTTTTTTTTACGAAGTATATATATACATATATACATTCTCACGTTTGACAATCGACAATTACGAAACCTTTTAAAGTCAAAGAACATCAGTAGCAATGAGAACTCTTTTAACCTTTGTGAAAATAATAAACCGAGTCACATTTATTATATAGAACCCTGAAAGCGATCGCTTTATTATATTATAAAACATTATCCGGATTAGAATTTTCATTTTAAAGAATTTTAATTATTTTTTAGAAAAATATTCATTTTACGAATTAGCAGAATTTCTTTTTATATGAATTTTTACTTAACAAAATTTTTAGCTTTCGAATTTTTATTTTATTTTCAAATACTAATTCGAAAAATGAAAATTTGACAAAAATATAATTATTTTGAATGAAATTCTTTAAAATGAAAATTCGAAGTAATGATTTTGATGGGACAATTATGCGCCCCAATTTCTTGAATTTGCAAAATTTTCTTTTTTTTTGTTTTGACTATTTTTTATCGATTTTTATTCCTGACTTTTTATCTCAAATTTTGTGAAAATAATTTCTGCTTTCGAAATTCTGAAAATATATAGCAAATAACCGATAGTTGATAATAATGTAAAAGTCAATAAAAGTTGAGAGTCATACCGTCCGATGGCGTTGGTTAGTCGATTGAATGAAAAGTAATAAAGTGAAAGAAACTCGTTATCGTTTAATGGAAAACAATTATTGCTTCTCAGATAGTATAAACATTTATCGTGTTCTTTTCAAGTCAATAGATGGCGATCGATTCGAAAGACGTAATAATTTAAAGTTTCTTATTTTTTTTTTTATGAAAAATTAATTTTCAAATTTACATTTTTTAGGAAGGTAAATTTTTTCTTATTTTTACTACTAAGGTAGTAAAATAATAATAATAGGTAAACTAGTAGGTTAAAGGTTGTTTTTGCTCTAAATAAATTTATTTTTTTCTATGGCGGAATTTTTTGGAAATTAGTTTTTTAAGTGTTTTTTTTTCAAAGAAGAAGAATTAATGATAGACTTTGTTGAAGATGATCTTTAATTGAAATTGTTATTGGTGTAACTGTCAACTTCCGGTCAGGAAGTCCATATCGATTCTGATTACTCGCCTGACCGGGTTCAGTTCACCAACTTAGAGATCTTGGCCATTTCGTCAGAGGATTTACGGTGTGACGAACCCACGATTTACAATCGGAAAAAAAAAGTTCGTGAATAGTCTACCTGGAGATTTACTCGTGTAGGCTGAGGGTTCACGCCTACCTCTTTATAAATGAAATTTCTATAAAGAGACAGGAACTCTGAATCTCTAAAAGAAAAGGGTGTGCGTCATTTCAAGTATATAAATTTTTTTTAATTTTATGTATACGGAAAATTTTTGATATCATTTGTGATTTTTAGGGTCTTTTTTTAATATCTCTTTTGCTTCTTCTTCTTCTTCTACGTTTTTTCTTCTCGGAAAAAATGATATTCTAAATTTGGGAAGTTAATCTTGGCTTCTATTTAAAAATGCCTGTGAAATTTTTTTATTACTGCCTCAAAAATTTTTTTTGTAACTGATTACTTGTTTGAACGAACTAGTAAATAGAAACAAAACCTATCGGTGGCGTCTTTAACTAAAATATTCCCCCTAGCGATGGCGTCCTCAACTAAAGTGCCAAAAATTTAGAAATATTAATATTAATGAATTAATATTAATTATTATATTTTTATAATAATATAATATTAAAATAATTATTTAATACAAATATAAATAATACATATTTCCCGTTATAAAAAAAATTTCCATTTAGAAAAAAAAATTTTTGATTTTTTTTATTGATTCAAAAGAGTTTAATAGTTTGGAATTTGGTGTTTTCAAATATATTGAAAAGAGTAATAAATGAGAGAAGTGAAATTTTAATAATTTAAAATGTGAAACTTTCATATTTTATAGCTCGAAGGAGTAATATACTTTTATATTTTAGTAGTAGTAAAAATAAAAGGAAATTCATTCGTCGGTCATAGTTGATAAGTAAATTCGTTCACAATTATATGTATAACATTTCGATTAGTGGCTAAAGAATATGTTTAGTAAATCTGTCAATATTCGTGATATTTCAATTAATTATAAGAGTACTGTAATTTTTTTTTGTTTATTTATTTTTATTAATTAATACATTGAAAAAATATATTATTTATTTGATTCAAATAATTTGTTACTTGAGTATTATCAAATAAATATTTACTTAAATCGAATAATTTTTATCTGAATTAAATAAAATGTATTTAGAACAAATACCATTTAATTGACTCAAATAATAATTAAAGAAGTATTTATTTGGTAGTAAATTAACCGATTACTTATTTGAATCAAATTTTATTTTTTCGTGTATATGTTGGAAAAACGAACTAAAAAATGAAAATAAAAACCTATCGGTGGTGTCTTTAACTAAAATATTTTCGCCTAGTGGTGGCGTCCTCAACTAAAGTGCCTAATATTTAGGAATTTAATATTAATAAATTAATATTAATTATTAATATTTATGGACGAAAAATTGATTTAACATTTATTTTATAAAATCAATTTCTTTTGAAGTAGAAATGATTTTTCAACATGGAAGTAAATAATTCCGGTATAAAACCTATCGGTGGCGTCTGCAACTAAAATATTCCCCCCTAGTGATGGCGTCCTGAACTGAAGGACCGAATATTTAGGAATATTAATAAATTAATATTAATTATTAATATTAATAAATGTACACATATTATTTTACGATATAATTATTTATACAATTATAAGAAATATTAAAATTTTAAATTAATAATTAAAAAATTATATTTATATAATTATTTATATTAATAATATTTATAAGAAATATAATATTTTTATTAATATTTTTTTTTTTAATATTTATTTACATTATTATTAAAATAAATTCGTGATTTATCAACAAAATACGAGGAATAAAAAAATTATACAAAAAAAAATGTTTATTTGGAACAGCGATATGTTTCTCTAGATTAATAAAAACTTTCGCTGTTTTAGTGAAATATTTCGGTGTTTTAATGAAACTTATATCTGTTTCAGGTGAAATTTTTTTTTTTTTTTTTTCCGTGATACTAATTTAGATTTAGAGAGTATTCCGACAGTGAATAATTTTTGTTTTATTCGAGAAATTTTCTTTTAATTGTTTCGCATGAGAAATTCATCGTGTTTAAAATATTGAGAATAAAAGAAATTCATTGAAATGGACCAGTTGACAGTTAGAGCATGGCTTCTGAATTGGTCCTTGAAAATGAATTTTGGTACAGTAATCAAAAAAAAAAAGATGAAATTGGAGGGATAAAAAAAAAACAGAATAGGACGATTTTTTTTTTTTTTTTTTTACAGTAGCTGTGTGTTGTATATCGACCGAGAACATGGAAACTTTCATTTTTATTCGAAAGAGAAGCGTGGGCGCTTGAGCGAGTTTCGTCGAGAGACTAAAGCCGCATGAGGCTAGGCACTTTCTAAGCGCGTGGCACGCAGTTGATGTTGAACGTGCCTGTGTGAACATACGTATATCTTACTTACGCATCATGTAGCACTTTTTTTTTTTAAATTCCTCTACGTATTTTTTTTTTCTTATCAATTCTCTCTTGCGGTGAAGGAAGAAAAATTTTAATAATTATTTTCCAAAATCGGTTTTTTTTTTTTTTGTGAAAATTAAAAAATATTTTCTTTGTGGAATGTGGAATGTGGTATTATTATTATTGAAAAAGGGGAAAAAGTGTGAAAATTCCTGTTTAAGTGATAAGACAATGAAACATGGTGATTGTGTATAGTGCTCGTGAAAACGTAACACGCCCTTGACGATAGAAAATGCTATGCACTGCCTCAAGGTTCAAGCATTCTCGTAATTATGCTCTTGAAGGCAACTTTTTGCCTTCTGCTATTTTGTTTGGTCGATTAGCTAAAAGTGTTTCTTCTTGTCTTTAGGAATTTTTGCCTATTTTATTAGCCAACATTTTCTCTCGAGTGGTTCTTTTTTTTAAAAAATTATTTTCGATAATTTAGAAAGAAGAAATTATTAATAAAAAAAAAAAAAATATTTTGTTCGATAATTTATAAAGAAAAAAAAAAATTTTTTTTCGATAATTTATAAAGAAAAATATTTTTATATAAAGAAAAAAAAAAAATTTTTTTTTTCGATTTTTACAAAGAAGAAAAATATTTTTTCGATATAATTTTACGAAAGAAAAAATTTATTTTTTTTAAAAATAATTTTTATAAAAAAAATATTTTTTTTTTCTTCTAAATATGGAAAAAATAGTTCTTTGTATATTATGAGTAAAGACGTACAACTATATCTGTCATAAAGAATACTTGATGCATTAGTCACAAAAGGCCTGGGAATATTGTATTACTAAATTGTTACTACTGTGTTTAAACTTTAAAGCAGGATTTCTCAAAGAAGATAAAAAAATGCCTTTTTTTCCTTTTTTTTAGTTTCATTTTTATTTTCATTTTTTTTCCTTCTTTTTTTATTTTCATTTTTTTTTTCCTTTTTTTTATTTTCATTTTTTGAGTGAAAGGTTTGCTTATCTAAAAGTATTTCCGGTTTTATAAATATATATATATATCAATCGCTGAATATGGTTAGACTAAATATCCAAGTCTTTTAATGTTAACGTCTTATTTCTGCCCATCCGGCTCTGAATCATTGATTACGTCATCCTTGTGTATGTGCACCTTGTTTCCAGTCTGAATAAATTGCAACAATATATCGGAGTCATACAACCCGAGTTTTGCGAGAGAAAAAAAAAAAGAAAAAAAAAAAAAGTCATTGAAACGCGCTTTCTATATACATCTAATATTTGCAATTGTCACTAATCACGCAGAGATGAAATCCCGTGTGTTGTTGAGTGAGCGCGATGTGCAAATTCTATCCATGTGCATGCACGTGAAATCGACCTTGACTGAAATTATTGTCCCAAGGCATGATAATGTGAACACATTTTATTTTCCATTTCATTCACTAATAGTGTCAAGTGACTGGTAAATATAATTTTTTTTGCCACGGATTTTATTTTATTTTTCTGTATTTTTTGTATTTTAATTTTTTTTTGGCATTTTTTGTATTTTAATTTTTTGGCATTTTTTGTATTTTATTTTTTTTTTTATTTGTATTCCCCTTTTTTTATCTTCAGTTATGTTTTTTTTTTTTTTTTTTTTTTTTATTAAATCGTCAAACTATTGTTGGATTATTATTTCTCTGCTTTCAGTTGTTATATGTTATTGAATCTTTGTTGGGGAATTTTCATTGTTGAATCTTCATTTAATGATGTTAAATGTTGGTGTTAAATTTTCATTTGTTATAAATTTATCATTTATTAAATCTTCATTTTGTTTTCTGTTTTGCCTTTTTTTTTTTGTATATTTAACTGTTTCTAATGCACAATTGCAGTTGTGCATTAAATTGTTGATGTAATCTTTAACTATTGTTAACACTTCTATTGTTTCTGCTTTGTGGATTTCTATAACTTTTATCTGCGTGAATTATTATTTCTCCTGAGGGGGCAAAAAAAAAGAGTTTTTACTGTTGATTATAAATTTGTACGAAAATTTATGACTCAAGTTATATATTATTTATATTTCAAATAATTTTTTTATTATTTATTACTTATTTATTTTATTTTTTATTATTAATTATTTTTCATTATTTAATTAATATTATTTTAATTTAAAAAATGAATAATAAATTAATATATATATAAATAAAAAGAAAAAAATAATTTTAAATTTGAATAAAAAATTATATTTTTTTTTTGTATTTTCTATTGAATTTAAATTCAATAAAATAAATACGAAAAAAAATATTTTTTTTTTATTATTTATTTTGTTTACAAAATAATGGAATATAAAATAAGGATTCATTTGAATATAATGAAAGCAAATAAATATCTATTTTTTTTTTTTTGTAATTGTTAACGTTTTGAAGAGAGATTTATCAGTCGCTAACCCAGTTTTTGAAACATGTGAATGCTGTCAATGTTTCAAACGACCCATATACGTCATCTGGTACAATCTTTGTTGTGCCATTCGCACACCTTCTTTTTTACTCTTCCGCTTTAGTTTTTTTTTTTTTTTTTTTTTTTTTTTTTGTACTTTAACGTTTATATTGCTTTGAAACTGTTTTGTCATGAGAATACAACGAGGGAATTACGCACGTAATAATGACTTTTACGTTGACTTACATTAACGAAGACTTGCATTTTAGAGGGTTTCCGTTCTTTAAAATTATACACTTCTCCTTCACGACTTCACAATACAAATATGCATATATATATATACAGTACTATAGCGTAAAATTGACTCAGAAGACAATTTTTTTTTTCTTTAATTTGTACCGAGAAAAAAAAGTAGTAAAAAAAATTATACATAACGTGTGTTATGTAAAATTTTTTTTTTAATTTTTACTGATTTTCTCTATTTTTGATTTTAAAATTTAATTTAAAGTATACAAAAAAAAAATTAAAAAGTAAAATTATAAAAATTATACCTGAACAAAATTATAAAATAAAATTACAAAAATTATAAACAAAATTATAAAATAAAATTACAAAAATTATAAACAAAATCAGAAAATAAAATTACAAAAATTATAAAAAAAATCAGAAAATAAAATTACAAAAATTATAAACAAAAAAAATTATTAAAAAGAAAAGTTATAAAAAAATATTCCCCTTCAAAAAAAAAAAAAAAAAAAAAAACTAGTATCGAATCTGTTTTTATGAGCTTTACTCGAAATGGAGCATTACTATCAGTAATTGACCTTTGAACTTTTCTTTAATTCGCAATTTCAATTCTCTTTGTTATTTCCCTGAAAAAACAAAAAAAAAAAAATAAAATAAGTACATTCTTTATTATCGTTGAAAATTTGAGGAAAGATTTAAAATTGTTTATTAAATTTTATTATTAGTAATGAATTAAAAAATAGTTGATAAATTTGCTGCAAAAAAAAAAAAATTGATTAAAATAATAATTTTTTTCGATAAATTATTATTATTATTATTATTATTATTATTATTATTATAAAAATATTTGTGATGATCTAGAGTAGTGTAAATCTAAAAAAATTTTGTATAGGCATTTCCCTACTTAAAAGTAACACATTATTAAAATTCCCCCCCTTGAACAAGTTTTTGAACCTGTTACGAACCTGCTATCGAATTGACGGGAATATTTTTGTGCGCCAGCCAAAATAACGTCACTATAGGTCATCGACCGTTATATACTCCCGCTAAGAAAACGTTTCTATTGTTTCTAACAAGCGGAGGAAAAACGTTAGATAATTTTATTTGAAATAAAAAAAAATAGTTTTTTTTTAACGATGTTGAAAAATATTTTTTTATTGAAATCATTTTTATATTGAAATCATTTTTTTTATTGGAATCATTTTTATATTGAAATCATTTTTTTACTGAAATTTTATTTATATTTGAATCATTTTTTTTTTTTTTTTTAATTAAAATCATTTTTATATTGGAATTATTTTTTTATTTGAATTTTTTTTATATTGAAATCATTTTTTTATTGGAATCATTTTTTTTATTGGCATTATTTTTTTAATGGAATTATTATTATATTGAAATATTTTGGTTTTTTGATTTTTTTTTTTTTTTGAAAATTGTATAGAATTTTATTTTTCACTATTGCGGTGTAATTTTATCACTAGAAATTAAATAAACATTGAATTGTATGTAAAACGTGATTATAACAGGTTTCAACTTTCTAATTAATGTTTGTTGTTGTTTTTTTTTTTAATTTTGTATATATATAGAAGTGAGAGTTTGTTTTAATTTTTTAAATATAACAATTTTCTCCAGTTTTTATCTTTGTCCGGTGAATAATAATTTGTTGTAATGAAACAAAAATAACGCCTGGTTGAATTCTGTGAGAATCAAATTTACTGAGATTGGTATCTTTTTTTTTTTTTTTTATTTCGCGCTCCAACGCCCAAAGTCTAAAAAAAAAACTTGTAATTAAATTTGTCTAAATTTGTAGTATATTTTCTAAATTTTTTTTCAGTTAAAATGAATTTATATTAATAATCGTGAATTTAATTTGAGCCATTTTAGAAGAATATGAAAGAAAAGTTAAATTAACTCGATGATTTCGTATTTATAAAAGAAAAAAAAAAATTTTTTTATTATTAAATTAATTATTTATTAAATTGAATTAAATTATTAAATAAATGAAGTTAAATATTAATTACATTTAATTTAATATTAAATAAATGAAGTTAAATATTAATTAATATGAATTAAATACTAGTTTACAATTACAAAAATTTTTTTAAATTAAAAAAATACGAAAATAGGAAATAATTTTTTACTCTCCGATTTTTTTTTTTTAAATAAATTTTGAATATTTTTTATATTTTAAATTTTATTAATTATTATTTTCAACTTATATACTGAAAAAGAAATTTTATTTGATTCAAATAATCGGTTATTGTCAAAATTTATTTGGTAAATAAATATTTATTTGTATCAAATAATTATTGAATCAATTAAATTTGTTTAAAAAATAGAAATTATTTTTTCAATAAATAAATATGAAAATAGGAAAGTAATTTTTTACTCCGATTTTTATAAAATTAAATTTTGAATATTTTTTTTAATTTAAATTTTATTAATTATTAATATAAAGAAAAAAAATTTATTTGATTCAAATAATCGGTGCCTGTCAAAATCAGTATTTAAAAAATAAATATTTATTTTTTATCAAATAATTATTATGCCAATTAAATGGTATTTATTTCGAATAGAGAAATTTAAGTTTATTTAATTCAATTATTGGTTTCGAAAAATGATTTTATTTATTATTAATTAATAATATTAATAAATTAATATTAATAAATTAAGTTAATTAATTAATAAATTAAATTATAATTTAAAGTCAAATAATCGATTATTTGAAATCAAATAATTTTTTTTCATTGGAAATCGTTACTATTTATCGAGTGGCCATTTAACGAGGTTTCACTGTATTTATAAAAAAAATTTTTTTTTTTTTCTTTTTATTAAATTTATATACTACAGTAACAAAGTACCAAAAACGAATATGTAATTACCGAGTTAATTTACAAATTTAAACCACGTATTATATACAAATATGCTCTGCTGCTGCTACTGATGATGATGATAATAATAATAATAATAATAATAATAATCACAGACCGTCATTGCCACAATACCGTGGAGATTCGCACTAAAGTGGAGCATATTTTTTTTTGCCTCGCATGACTCACTTGGGAATAAAAGAGTTGAAAAAAAAAAAAAAAAAATGGCCACTATATGGTGAGCTCCGTTTCCTACTGGCACTGAGGTCGTTGTGGCCATCGGTATGATACGACATGGCCGTATAGTAGAGTTTCGCTATATACAAAAGCAAAGTACCGCGCGCGTTTTACACCGACCGGATGGTGCTTTTGATGGGAGGGACCAGCGTGACGAGAGGGGCACAAAGGGGGACCCACGAAGAGTTCCTTCGAACCAGAGTGAGAGAGTGCGGACAGTACACACCGTGAGGCCGCGGTTGTTTTATACCGGTGTGTTGTTGTTGTTGTTGTTGTTGTCCCTCGATTACATTTTTTATATATACAACCAGTATTTTAATAATTTATAAATTCTCATAGAGAATTTTTTTTTCCATTTTTGAAAAAATTTTGGAAAAATTTTGAAACAAATTTTAATTTTTCATCGGCTCCTCGTGAGGAAATTTTTTTTTTTTTTATGTGGAAAATTGAAAAATTGTGAAATTGCTGAAGCAAGCGTGTTGATAGTATAATTAATTGTGAATTGAAAATATTTAACAATGGAATTAAGTGTGTCAGTGATTGAATTGAGCAACGTGGCATTGCTCCTCTGTGATTTTGGTCCTATTGCTTTTCGGTAATGACAGTCGAAAAATTAAAATTTATTTTTGATTTTGTTATTAGAGTCAAGGCGAATTATTATTATTTTTTTTTTTTAGTGAAATAAGGCAAAATGAAAAATTATTTTTTTCGATTTATTTTCAAGTAATTTTTGTTATAAAATTTTGATACAAATTTATTTTTTTTTAATTTTGTTGTAAAACTTTATTTTCTCTTTATTTTATTCAAATTTGTTTACTAAATTTTAATAGAGAAGAATTTCTTTTCTACATTTTAATTTATAAAAATTTGATTTTCTGAATTTTATTTTATAAAAATTTATTTTCTAAAATTTATATTATAAAATTTAGTTTATACAAATTTATATTATAAAATTTAGTTTATTACAAATTTATTTTCTAAAATTTAGTTTATACAAAATTTATTTTCTAAAATTTAGTTTATAAAAAATTTTTTTCTAATTTTTATTGTAAAAATTTATTTTCTAAATTTTAATTTATACAAATTCATGTTATGAAATTTAGTTTATACAAATTTATGTTATAAAATTTATTTTCTAAATTTTATTGTAAAAATTTATTTCCCTAATTTTATATCCTAAATTTGGTTTATACAAATTAAATTTGTATATAAAATAAATTTTAGAAAATTGTTAAAATTAAATGTTATAATATAAATTTCGATAAAATAAATTTTAGAAAACAAATTTTCATAATAAAATTTAGAAAATAAAATTTTTTTAAATCTGAAATTTATTTTACAGAAATGTATTTTGTAAATTTTATATTCTAAATTTTATTATAAAAATTTTTCTAAAATTTATTTTGTAAATTTAAAAAAAAAAAATATTTTCTTTTTTTTCTGACAAAAATTTATAATTTTTGATTCGATTAGAAATAACTTCGTGAGGGATAAATTTACCTGACTTCAGAATATTAATACAAAGTGTTTATTATTATTTTTCTTTTTTTTTTTTTTGCCACTCTAACCTGAAAATTATTTTTCATTTTGCAAAATGTTTCTCTACTTTGTGTTTCACTGATTCGAATTTATAAAATAGAGAAAGAGAGAGAGAGAGAGTGAAAAGCGAACCCGTAAATTGAATTATAAAAGAGCACTCTTCTTGTTTTCCATTTGCTATAATATAATTCCCTTTGGAGTCACACGAATTTTAGAAAAGTATGTACCTCTCTCACAAATAATTGATAATTAACCTTAATTTCAATTCTCTAGGTGTGGTTGTAAATTTATTTTTTCTGAAAAAAAAACAACTTTTATCAAAAGACTCTTATTTCAACAAAAATTCGTTAATTTCGCCATTCCTTTTTTGTTTGGTAGAAAAAGAAACTGAGGATATAATTTTGTTCTCTCAGGAAGTTGTAATTAATAATTCAAGAAATTAAAAACTTTACTGCGATTCCTTTTTTACCGAGAACGACTCTGACATTTCATTTTTATTTGTTGAACTTTTTTCGTTTTTAAAAAGTTTAATTTCTTATTTAACGTTTGCTATTTTCGTTTTTTACTTTTACACGAATTTGGAATATTTAAAAAAATAATCACTAACGAACATATTTATTTTATTTAAAAAAAAAAGTTTTGTTTTGTTTAGTGATGGATCAAACAAATAAAAACGAAGTTTAAACATTTTTTTTTTTTTAATATTTTAAAGTTTTGTAAATTTCAGTTAGGATATTTATATTTATTTTAATTTTTTTATTATTGTCAAAAAAAAATATTTAATTTTTTTTTTACATTGCCTAATTTTTAGTGTTAATAATAAATTGTTCATTGCAATCGGAAACATTTGCTTTGTTCGAGGACATGAATCACATTACATCACTGACATTTACGTAAAAAAAAAAAAAAAAAAAAAACGAATGAAATGACGCACTGATCCAAGTATATTTCTATTTTCCAACGATACGACTGCAAAATCCAAACTATAGACATATTTTAAACACAACCATAAATTTCTCAACGCTCACTATTTTTTTTTTTTTTTCTACTTTTTGTATTCGCATAATTGAATAGGAATTAAAAATTAATCTCTCTAATTAAAAAAGAAAAAAAATTCCCAATTATTGTAGTTGAAAATTAATTCTAAAAAAAAAATAATTAAATTTTTGTTATAAAAATCAGATTTGGAAAATAAAAAATTATTTTATTTTTCTTTTTAATATATATTTTTACAAAAAAAATTTTTATTATTGAAAAAAGTGGTAGAAAAAATGAATTTTTTTTTTTTAGACACTTTAAATCGAAATTGTAGGTAGGCTATCGCTTATCAGTATCTTCCATGTTGATAAGGGAATAACACCAGTCGAGTTTGTCGGCAATGCTTATCAGCAAGAAAATGGACCCTGCAGTGCCTCGTTGTATCGAGTCTACGTAACATTTCCTATTCCACTTTTCTATTTTCACAATAATTGTTAGAGAAAAAACAAAAAGTATAAAAATTGTGTTCTATTCGATTGAAAAAATTGTGTCCCATATAATTGTTTTTAGTATTTTCTTATCCTCAAGTATGCATTATAAAGTGTCATTGATGAACGTTAATCTCACAAGTGTTCGTTGAGAAAACGCGCTATATTTTTTATTTTCTATTTGCTATCATTATTATCAATAAATGTTTCGATTTTTTTTTTTTTTGTAAATAAAAAAAATTAAATTTTGTAAAAAAAATAATTTTTAATGGAAAAAATTCGATTTTGTAAAATAATTTTTTTTTTAATGTAAATTAGATTTTGTAAAATAATTTTTTTTTAATGTAAATTAGATATTGTAAAATAATTTTTTTTTTTAATGGAAAAAATTAATAAAAAAAATAATTATTTTTCACTTTGAAAATTGATTGAGGATTTATTACCTTTGTCAAATGTAATCGGGATTCAGAAATATTGTCTTCTTAATCGATTGTTCTCAAGTGAACATTCATTATTGTTTCAAGTGCGAAACACGATCCTGAAAAGCAGCAATTCTTATCTTTCACCTTGTTATAATCTTCTTTTATATATATATATATAAATTTTCTGATACTGTTACGAGCATCACGTAAGTCCCAATGTATGTTTGTCTCGAGATAATTTTCTATCACTTCAAAGATAATTATATTTTATCTCGCGTAGTGAAAACGATTTTTTTTCCATAAAACATGATTTAGTTTTTTCGATTATTTTCTTTTTGAATGAATTAATGAGTGGATAATTTTATATAATTCCGTTCGAATTAATGTTACGCTTCAGTCGACAGAATAAATTTTGTAATCTCGTGACGGAAATTGTGTGATTGAATTTTTTTTTTTTTTTTTTTACATAAAGAGGAGAAAAAGTGTCGAACATATATATATATATTTTCGTATATATTCCTGATTCAGGAAACTACTTTCTGATATTATTTTGCTTTCATTGAAACATGATTCACCAGGTTGGGCAATTGCTTCTCTTTGCTTTTTCCTGTTTTTTTGCTTTTTGTTGGCTATTAAAAAAATTTTTTTTTTTTTGCTTGAAAAATAGAAAATTTTCACGCCTATAGGGAAAACAAGAACCGCTCTGAGAGAATTTTTTTTTTTTCAATTAGCTGTTTATAAAAATCTTATTTTTTTCCCACGTAATTTATTTTTTTTTTTTCAAAATAAGAATATTTAAAATTTTATGAAATTTTTTTGCTAATTCGACCACGCTTTCTTCTCTTTAGCATAAACGGCTTTCAATCTCGGTCGCGAGATAATGAACGATCGTGAGGACACGTTCGCGCGAACAGTGAGGCCTGACGAGAGAATTCGGCCACTGATGTTTCGAAGGACCTTGGATCCGGATCTTCAACCTTCAAATACCACGCCACATTTTGTCGATCCAAGGATACAGAGAAAATTGCCTACCAAGAATAATACATTTGAGAAGCTTAAACAGTGGGAATTGGTCAAAGGTGAAAAGGGATTACGTGTTGTTGAAAAAAAATCGGAAAAAAATTTATTGTCAAGATCGACAAGTGCCAGTGAGCCAAGAACATCAAATAATTATAATCAATCGCCATTGATGCAACGATCACAAAATAATAATCATTGGATAGAGGCAATGACGAGGCGTGACAATCATCATCATCATCATCATCATAATATTGGTGAAAGAAAAATGTATTTTCCAATGAGAAATGAAACGTCGATGAAAAATTCAGGACCAATTTCACTTCCAGTTTCAAGTGGTCCAGTGAGACTTGATATGGTTTTGAAACAATCGGAAAATCGTAATAATGACAGTAATGATACACTTCAACAATTGGAACAACAGGTTCGATCAATTGAAGTGAATACAATTAGTGCAAAAAAAAATCAGTGTCTGGAGCAATCGTTACAAAATCCATATCAACGATACGCTGAACATGAGGATTTGTTGATTAACGTCGACGATGAGCCTGAGGGGTAATTTTTATTCTTCAAAAATTTCACATTTCCTCTTTGCATTTTTTTTTTGCATCATGATGAAAAGATGTTTTTTCCCCTTTTATTTGTATTTTTAAAATTTTTTTCTTTAATTTACAATTTTTTTTTAAATTAAATTAATCCAGTTTGATCAACACTAGACTAGATTCTTTGATGAATTTACAAGTTTTCTCAATTCTTTGAAAATTGTCACGGATTTTTATCTCAATTTCTAAATATTAAATATTTGTCCTCTTATCTTTTAATTGTTCTAAAATATTGTGAATTACGTTTCAAATTAATTTGCATTTCGAATATTCTGGCTTTTCAAATTAATATTATTCAAATTTATTTTTGAAAAAAAATTCAATTTGGTTCAAATAATCGACTATTATCAAATAAATATTTATTTGTATCAAATAATTATTAATTAAGATCGTATTTGTTTCAAATACAGAAATTATTGATTCAAATACAGTTTATTTAATTCAATTATTTGGTTTCAAAAATTATTTGATCCAAGAAAATATTTATTTGATAATAGTCAAGTAATCGCAGTATTTGAATCAAATAAATTTTTTTCAGTTTATTAATAGAAAATATTAACAATTTTTTTTTTTTTTGTTGTACACTGAAGAAAAATTTTTATTTCATTCAAATATTCGGTTACTTGTCTTTTATCAAATAATTTTTATTTTAAATAAATTTAATTAATAAATAAATTGAAATCAATAATTTTCGTATATGAAACGAATAAAATTTAATTGACTCAAAAATTGTTTGGTTCAAGAAAATATTTATTTGATAACAGTCAAGTAAGTGATTATTTAAATGAAATAAATTTTTTTTCAGTGTAATTAATTAAATTTTTATCATTTAATTAATAATTTTTATTATTCAATTAATTATTTTTGTTGATTGACAATTTTTTTTAATCAAGTTTAAGACTTTTTTTTATATATAAAATAAAAAAAAATGAAAATAAAATTGTAAATTTAAAATTTTAGTAGCGAAAAATTCAGTTTCTATTTTTTCCGTAGATTTTCGAAAGAAATGGAAAGTTTACATAAAGTATCAAAGGGTCATTTTTTTTTTTTTTTTTTTTTTTTTTTTTTTTATCAATAAAAAGGTCAATAGCATCCCCCTCGGTTTTATCTAAATATGAAAGAGAGTTTATGCGTCTCATGTAAATCATCTTTGCTGAATGCCATTCATCTTTTTCATCACAGCTGCATATTGCCTCGTTCCATATCTTTAAGCTTGTCTCAAATGTCTCATTTTAAAATACATTCGCCTTACATTTTTTTTTTTTTTTTTGCAAAGAAATAAAAGTTTTCCAATATTTTTACTAACAAAAAAGAATATTTTTCTATTATAATGAAATAATAATTTTTTTTTTATCATTTATTTTATTCTAAATTACAAAAAGGGAAAAGTTTAATTTAAAATTGAATTTCGGATAGAATTGAAATATGTAATAAGAGCGAAAAATAGAAAATGAAATTTTGAAAATTCATCCCTTGGAGGAAATGTGAAATTTATTGTAAAATATTTGGAAGAGAATTATTAAAAAAAAATAACAAAACAAAAAAAAAAAAGGGTTTCCACATTGCGACGTGGCGAGGCAACGAGAAATTCAACTGGTGGTAATGTCAGACACCAAGGGAAAAGACAAGTAGCAAAATTGTCAAGAACTGCCTCGGACGCGAGACGTGGACCGGAAACGGAAATTCCGACGAGAATGCAGCCAAGGAAGCAGCACGCTCTTTTACCCGTGAGACCGTTCATCACCAGAAAACATCATCGCGAGGAACAACAATCTTCATCATCAATGAGACCATTGACGGATCTTATGTCGAAAACGCAAGGCGATAAGGAGGTACCTCAATTTTTGGACAATTTTTTTATTTAAAGAAAAAAAAAATCTGAATTCATCATCATTGATGATAAACTAAACGATGATACCTTTTTTATCTCTAACATCGAAAATTTATTTTCAATTTCGATAATTTTAAATCGTAGAAAACTATTTTTATAGATAAATATTTTTCTATTTTCTAAAAATAATTTTTGTTGAAAATAGTTGGGTTTAAAAGAGATTTTATAACTCTTTTGATTATTTCTATATATATATATATATACTGATTTTCTTTCTATTTTTTGTAACGAAAATCAAATTATTAATTATTAATTATCAATTAACGTTACATTAAATCCTGTGGATTTAAGAGCTGTAAAGATAAGACTAATCTAGTGATACAAAAGACTGAAAAAAAACACAAAAGCAGAAGTGATTCATGATTATTAAAGAAAAATTTGAAAATCTATTTTTAGAAAATGAATTTTGAAATTTTAATTTTTCAAAATGAATTTTAAAAATTTAATTTTTTAAAATGAATTTTGTAAATTTAATTTTTTTAAATGAATTTTTAAAATTTAATTTTTTTGAATGAATTTTAAAAATTTAATTTTTTAAAATGAATTTTAAAAATTTAATTTTTTTTAAATGAATTTTTAAAATTCAATTTTTTAAAAAACAAATTGTTACTTAATTCAAATTTTCCAAAGTTCCATTCACCGTTTATTGATTGTTACTGAGATTCGTGAATTATTGCTCAGTAAATTATCGCGTTTAATTATTGCATTTTGCTCGAATCTTGTTCCTTTTCGCGTGTTTTTCAAGAGATCTCATCTCTTTTTGAACGTTAATCTCATTTAACGAGAATTGAACTTTCTCTTATAAATAAATAAAATAATCATTAGAAGTTATATATTATCCCCCTTATGTTCTAATTTGTAAGCAGATTCCACATCGAGAGCGTAACAGCTGTCGATAGAAAATTGCAGACTATATAAATGAGAAACAAGTAGCGTTATTCGTTCCTGGAAATGAATAATAATACTTGGAAAAATTAATGAAGTTCTTTTACTTCTTTGGTTTATAATACAGTTAAGATATAATTTTTCTTAATTAAAAAAAAAAAAAAAAAAAAAAAAGTAAAACAAGGTCAGTCGTTCTCTTTAAAATTTTAAATTTAAATTAAGAATAAACGAATAATAACAAAGGTAATAAAATTTATATTATTATTATTATTGTACAATGATAATTTATAAGATAATTATTATTTAGATGAGCTCATTACTTGGTCTATATTAAAAAAAAAAATTTTATTTTTTTTACATCTAAAATCTAAATAATAATTATTATTATGAAAAATAATTATTTGATCCAAATAATCGTTTATTTGATTATCAAATAATTTTTTTACATCTAAATAATAATTATTATTATTATTATGAAAAAAATTATTTGTTCCAAATAATTGATTATTTGATTATCAAATAAATATTTATCTGCATTAAATAATCGGTTATTTGATTATTACCAAATAAATATTTATTTGTATTAAATAATCGGTTACTTGATTATTACCAAATAAATATTTATTTGTATTAAATAATTATTTGATTATTATCAAATAAATATTTATTTGTTTTAAATATTTATTTGATTATTCTCAAATAATTATTTGTATTAAATAATAATAATAATAATTATTATTATTATTATTATTATTATTATTATTATTTGAGTCAATTGGTATTTGTCTCAAATACAGAAATTATTGATTCAAATACAATTTATTTAATTTGAAATAAAAAATTATATGGTTCAAGTAAATCAGGATTGCCACAAAAATTTTATTTTTTCTTTTTCCCAAAATTTTTTCTAATTTCCAGTTAGAATTAAAATTGTTTTTCTAACTCTAATGAAAATTCTTGAAGAGGTTTTCAATTATAAAAAAAAAAAATTGAGACAATAATTTTGAGGAAGCAAAAATTTCAAAAATTATAATTTTAATAGAATTTTTTTTTTTTAGAAATTTGATTAATTTTCCAGTACTTTTTATAAAATTTCCTGACTTTTCCCTGATCCGTAGCAAGCTTTTAAATATTTATTTGATAATAGTCAAGTAACCGAATTATTTGAGTTAAATAAATTTTTTTTTCAGTCTAGTAATTTTTTTTTTAATAATTTGACATTATTGTTATATTATTATAATTATTATATTAATTACTAATTATTACAATTTGTAATTTAGTATATGATTAATAATAATAATAATAATAAAATTAATAAATAATTATTATATTTTTTATTAAATATTATATTAATTGATTATAATAATAATACGAATTATTATTTTTATTATTATTATTTTTGTACAATAATAACAGTAATATTATGAATTTTATTATTATTATTATTAATAAAAATTCAAAAATAAAAAAAGAAACTAAATTGCTCCTGAAAAAAAAAATTATCTCGTGTCTTGATAACTCAAACGAAATTCGATGATTTTTTTTTTCGTTCTATTAAGAATAGAATTCGAATGAAAAATGTAGAAATAATTTTTTTTAATTCTCCATTTTTTCTAAGCAATTTTCAGCAAAAATTTATTTTTATCCTATTCCAAAAATTCTCTCTAAAATACTTGTATAAATATTTGCTTGTTTAAATCTTTTCCCTTTGACTTGTTCAAGGTAACAGTGTCGATGTTTTTAATGATCATATCGTCCCAGTATATTTTTTAAGAGAAATTACTTTCAAAAAAAAAAAAAAAAAAATTTCGTATTCATTTTTTTCAAAAAAAAAAAAAAAAAAATTAAATTAAAATAAAATCACTGAAATGAGGGTGCGTCACTTGAAAAAAAAAATAGTGGGTGTAATTGTATATAAAAAATTTTGGTTTTTTTTTTTTTTTGGCTATAGGTGAAGAAGCCGATCAGCTGACCAACCCTAAAGCTGATGTTTTGTTGAGGACAGATAGAAAGTTATATATATATATATATATATATATATATATATTCCTTTACGCATGCGCTTTGAACTTTTTTTTTCAACCTCAAAAGCAGAGAAGCCGAGAGGGTTCCCATAAGGGTGGTTCGCGCAGTTTACCACGCTGACGGGGGTGGCGGCACGTATTGATTCTCTTTTCATCCCTTGGCTATTGCTAGCAGTCGTTTCGGGGTTGCTGACGCCGACGACATCGTTTTCTCTTTCTCTCTCTTTCTCTCTCTCCCTTTATCTCTCATTCTTTTGATAATATTCATGGGGGAGAGAATCACATTTTTTTTTTGCTCTCAATTTTTAACACCCCCTTTTGATTCAAATACAAAAAAGATTGACAAAAAAAAACAAAAAAAAAAAATTTGAAATGATTAATCCCAATTGAAGAATCAATTTTTGGAAGAAATAATTTTGAAAATTGTTGGAGAAAATTAAGAAGAAAAAAAAATGAAAGTGATCAAGTCGTGACATGAAAAGTGTGGGGGTGGTGTGTGTTTTTGTCCCGGCTGATGTAGATTTAGGGTGGTGGGGGGTGGGTTAGTGATGATGATGATGATGATGATGATGATGGTTGTTCGCTTTCGTCAATTCGCTGCTCCAGCCAGGCGTGCGCTTCGCGTTGTTGCTGGGGGTCTTTGAGCGACCTCGCCTCCAACAAGTTCACACAACTAGTGAATTTTTACTGAAAAAAAAAAATTAACGATTTTTCTTTTGGTGCTTCGTTTTGTGAATAAAAAAATAAATCGAATAGTGTTTTGCAAAAAAAAAGGGGAAAATTCAGTGATGCGATTAAATGGAAGTCGAGGAGAAAGGAGTGTCTTTGAGCTTGCGTGCCTCCAGTCAAGAGATCGAGGATCTCAATTATTTGTGGGCAGTGACCAATAATTCGATGGGGAACATGAGTCTCGGAAATTATATTCCGAATGTGGATTATTATCTGGCTGTGATTTTATGCAGGATTTTAAAAGTCCATTTTATTAGGAATGATAGATTTGGAGAAAATTTTAGAGCGCGCATTTATCATTCTAGATAGAGTAAGATTTTTTTTGAAAAAATTGAATTTTTTTTTACATGGAAATAATTTCTATTAATAATAAAAATAACAATAATAATTTCTAATAATGGAATTTTTTAAATCCTTGTGATATTGAAAAAAATTTGCAAATATTGAACTCAAAAATAAATAAAATAAATTTGTCAAAATCGACAATAATGGCTAAAATTTTACGTCAAAAATTATTTGGCATTCTTAATCAGTAATTTGCTTATAAAGTATCTTCGAAGTTAATTTTCATAGGATTATTAAAAGTTTCCAACTTTTCAATATCATATTATAACAAAGTTTTAATGAGAAAATTTTGATTCAAGTTCCTGCAATTAGTGACATTTTGTGGACTAACAGTTTTTATTTATTTATATTGTGGAAAAATTAATTTAATATTTATTGTTGAATATATTTACGAAAAAAAATTAATTATCGAATAAATTCAATCATGTAATGAAAAATTTGTTTAATCCCCCTTGAGATGGAATTCTTTTAAAAAAATTGATAAAGTAAAAAAATTCAATTTTTGCTATTTATTATTTTCATTTTATTTTATTAAATTAAAATAATTTTTTTTAAATTACTGAATCACAGCTAGATAATGATTTTTGTGATTAGCCGGAAACGATTAAGATACGAATACGAGCTACAAATGTCTATAAATGTGGCAAAGTTGGAAAGTTTCGTTATCTTGGAAAATTGGGACAAAGTAGTCCGGGAAAAATTCTTTTAAAAGTAACTAAATACGGGTCAAACTGGCGGCCTCAAAAGTAGTTGCAGCTTCTTCTTCATGCAAGATGGTCACTCGTGGCCTTCTGCGGGTAAATTTTGTATTATATTACTTAGCCACCTGCTTTCTTAATTTTTTTTTTTTTTTTTTCCATAACATTCGAGATACGAAAAAAGGAACGTGTTTTCTTGGAACGTGCCTCGATAAATTCCTTAAGCAAATGACGATACACCGGTGGTGTGTGTGTTTTTTTTTTGCAGTTGGTAAACAGGTTTTTTTTACACCGCTTAAAAGAAAGTAAAAAAAAAAATTTAAAGCCCATGTAAATAAGTCGAGCCGTTTTAGGAGAATCCTTCTTTACGCTCCAATTGCATTTGTCGAATTCTTTGCAAAACTGCGCGAGAAAATCCTATTCACAAAAATTGAAATTTTTTTTTTAGGAAAAATTGTAAAACATCAGAAGCAACGTTTCATAATGAAAAAAATATGAAATAGAATAAGAATTTTTAAAAAATGTATTTTTAGTTTATTTATTAGTTGCAGTTTTTTTAAATTTTGTTTTCTTTTTGATTCAGACAAGTGATGGCGTGGGGGTGTCAAGTAGTGGAGGCATTCGAGTCTCATCGAGAGGGCGAACCGTTGAAGAGCCGCAAATCGGCAAGTACAAATTATTGAAGACCATCGGCAAAGGTAACTTTGCCAAGGTGAAGCTTGCCAAACATGTACCTACGGGGAAGGAAGTAGCTATCAAAATAATTGACAAGACTCAACTCAATCCTGGAAGTCTTCAGAAGGTAAATTACCAAACTAATTTTCAATTAATTTTCCAACTAACTCTATATTAGAGGAATAATCAATAAATTGTAGATAATTTTTATTCATTTTTTTGGTTTTATTTTACAATTTTATTTTTATGTTATCGATAGAATTTTTTTTGAAATGAAAAAAACGATAATGAATTTGTTCTAGTTATTCCGTGAAGTAAGGATAATGAAAATGCTTGACCATCCAAACATAGTGAAGCTGTTCCAAGTGATTGAGACTGAGAAAACATTGTACCTGGTGATGGAGTATGCGAGTGGTGGTGAAGTGTTCGATTATTTAGTTCTTCATGGTAGAATGAAAGAAAAAGAAGCGAGGGCGAAATTTAGGCAAATAGTATCAGCCGTTCAATACTGTCATCAAAAGAAAATAATTCATAGAGATTTAAAAGCAGAAAACTTATTGTTGGATAGTGAAATGAACATAAAGATAGCTGACTTTGGATTTAGTAACGAATTCACTCCTGGAAATAAATTAGATACATTTTGTGGTTCTCCACCATATGCGGCGCCAGAATTGTTTCAAGGTATGAATTTATTTTTCTTTTTATTTAAATTTAGCTTTTGAATATATATATAAAAAAAAAGTAAAAAATATTTTTTTTTTTGGTAAATTTAAATTTTGTTTTTTCACAGGCAAGAAATATGACGGTCCAGAAGTAGATGTTTGGTCATTAGGAGTAATTCTCTATACTTTGGTGTCAGGCTCCCTACCGTTTGATGGCTCAACGCTGAGAGAATTAAGGGAAAGAGTACTAAGAGGAAAGTACCGTATCCCATTTTATATGTCCACTGACTGTGAAAATTTACTGAAAAAGTTTCTGGTGCTCAACCCGACGAAACGGGCCTCGTTAGAGGTACGTGGTGACAAGGTTTGATCCTATTTTGTATCTATACTATTCTTTCAGAGTAGTTGAGATTTTTATTTCAATAATTTCAATTCCCATTAAATATAATTTTTTATACTTTCTTTAAATTCATTTAATTTTTTTTCACTATAGCATGTTTTTTTAGCATTTACTTTTTATTAAATATTTTTGTTATTATAAGATAATTATAGTAATTAATATATTAAACTAATTTAAAGAAAGTAGAATTTTTTGTTATAATGGTTTAAAAAAAAATGAATTTTTAAAACTCGCAGAATATTATGAAAGACAAATGGATGAATACGGGATACGAAGACGATGAATTAAAACCGTATTTAGAGCCAGAACCCGATTATAAAGACCACAAGAGGATAGGTGAGTCTGCCAGTATGTACATAACACTTACTACTATTGTTTCTATTAATTAGTGCACCCGTAGATAGACATTCTGTGTGTATTAAAGAATTTAAATGTGAAATATTTTTTAGAAATTAATACTTTATCGAGAGATTTGTATATAACCGGGAAATGTTAACTAACAATTTGTTAACATTTTGTTAACAATTTTTTTTTGAGTGTTACTAATAAAAAAAAAAAAAAAATACAGTAAGAATGTCTATATTGCTACAGTTTCAAAATTCCAAGAACTGTTGGCAATTAATTGTTATCTGTGTTAATAAGATATATCATTATAAAAAATATATTTTTAATTTTATTTTTTTTTTGTTTTTTTATTTGTATTTTTTTTTTTTTCATCACACTAAATAGTTTAGAAGATATTTATATAAAAAATTGTTACAAAAAAATTAAAATCTGTTTTTAAATATTTGTTTACCGTTTACGATTAGGTAAAAAATCAGTACTTAATTTATTTATTTATTTATTTATTTTGAGATTTATAGTGATATATCTTTGCATGAAAACCTCGTAGCATGAAAGTAGTTATTGAATCGAATAAAAATGATTAAAATCTAACAAAAATATATAATTTGAAAATCAATGAAAGTTATATTTTTAGAGTCAATATTTCGTTTTAAAAATTCGAGAAATTTCAAATCAATCTTTTGTAAAAATAAATAAAATCTTTAATATTTAAATTTTTATCAAATTTTTATTATGGAAAAAACAGAATGGCGGCAAATAAGAGAAAAATTGATTAGAGGATTTTGATAGGAAAAAATGCGGAAACATTTATGTTCAACGATTTTTAAAGAAATACTTTAAATTCTATAAAGTATCATCTAAATATATTTTTTACAAACTTTACAAGTTATAAATAAGAAAAATTGTATTTTATTTTATTATTTCTATTATTAATTATAAAAGAATTTTTTTTATAATTCTCCACGTTAAAAAAAAAAATTTGTTTTCTAATCGTGAACTTCAATATGAATTTTTATTTTGAAGAAAATAGAATCAAAATTGAAATAATTCTAATTTTCGATGCAATAAGGGAAGATAAAATTAAAAAATTGCCGCCATTTTGAAAAATTGAAAAAAGAATAAAATTCGATGTATTAGAAATTAGCTATTAACATTATTAGATGTGACTATGCGTATTCCAACTGTGTATTACAGAGGCGTTAGCAATTATGGGATATTCAAGGAGTGAAATCGAGGATTCATTAGGACAAGCAAAATACGACGATGTCTTTGCCACTTATCTTTTGCTCGGCAGAAAAATGACTGATGTGAGTTATCATTATTTGTTTTTTTTTTATATAACGAGAATTCAATTGTGAATTTTTAATAACAATTGCAAGAGAAAGTTGGTTTAAAAAAAAAAAAAGAAGGAAAAAATTTTAATTTAATTATTCTGTTAATTTTTCCTTGTTTCACATAACTTTTATTGTTTTCAAACAGCCTGAGAGCGATGGTTCGCGGTCTGGTAGTTCGCTATCTCTACGTAACATTCCACCACAAGTTAGTTCAGGTGGAGGTGGCGGAAGTGGCGGAGGAACCGGGGGCGCAGTTCAGAGTCCGTCACATCGAGGAGTTCATCGTAGTAGTTCCGCAACTAATCCCAAACCTAGTAGAAGAGCTTCTTCCGGTGGAGAATCTCTTCGTAAGTTATTGTTTAAATAAGTAATTTAACTACTATAATAAATATTAACTAATATTGAAATTAATTAATATTAAAATTAAAATTAAAATTAAATTGAATATTAAAATAATTTGTTTTTTTTAGGCATAGCACCAAGCCCAGGTAACACAACGAATCACAATCATGCCACGACCGTAACCGGTGGAACGGTAGTAGGAAGTGGCGGTAGCAATTTTAAAAGGCAAAATACAGTAGACGCAGCAACGATCAAAGAAAACAGCGCTCGTGTCGCTGCATCGAGACCCTCTGCTCCTAAAAACAATCCTGGACAACTTGATACCAGTGAGTTCCCTTTTTGCTTTAAGTTTCTCGTTCTATACACGAGAAAATTTTGTCTCTTACTCTCTGTGGTAAAGGTATGCTGCCGGCTTTTTCTTGTCTGTCTTTTGTTTTTAATCCCTCAACAAAAAAAAAAAAAAATCATTCATAAATTAACCCGCATCCCAGTTTTAACTTATTCAAATTTCAATAAATTTAATCTACTTTTAGACTCAACTTTTTAAAAGATTTTCAAAAAAAATTTTCAGTTATCTATTAACTTGCATCTGCAAACTTATTTTCTAAATATGGAAATTCAAATAGGAATAAACATTTTTCCTTTGCATGTACTATTCTTTTTTACTTTTTATATTTTCTCTTCGATATAAAAATTCGAGATGAGACCTGGGTTGCGGGGATTTTTATCCTCGTCACAATCATCTCATTTTTGTTTTTTTTTAAATTATTATTTTCATTCTTTTTTTTCAATAACATTATCCCCGCTTTATTTTGTGTTGGATCATATCTAATGAGTCTTGCAGTGTCAATGTTTATTCAAGGCGTTGGAACGAGTCCCGGTGGCAAGACGAGAGTTGGAAAGAGCAACACGATGAACTCGGGGGTCGGAGGTATTCGAACGTCAACAACAGCTGCTGTTGGATCAATTGGTCGACGCAGTACAATTTCTTACGACCAAGCAAAAACTCCATCAACCGAAAGAACCAACGATGTACCCAGGTATTAAAAAAAAAAAAATTAATTATTCTCTTCCAAAAACAAAATACTGAGTAAAAAAAAAATATTGTAAAAAAAAAATTAAGAGATTTTTTTTTGAGAAAAGCTAACACGTTTGATTCCTACTAACAATGCTAGGTAATTGATAATATTTAGAAAATGTAGATAAAAGAAAATATGATTTAAAAAAAGGAAAAAGAAATTCTGTCGTTAAAGCCAAAAAAAAAAAAAAAGGATTATTTGTTTGCTGCACAGCTCTAAGCATGGTGACTGCTGCTTGCGAATCATTGATTGCAATTTTTTTCTGACGATTATTATCAGGCTGACAGAGAAATTAAATCTTTTTAGATGCTTTTTTAATATTGAACCTTTTGCAAATGGAGTTGCATTAATTTTCTCTCTTTTAATCTCCAATTTAGAATTAGAATTATAATTACGAAACACAAATACAGTCATTGACATTTTCATTCATTCAATCATTCATTCTTCTGATCGATTACGGAATTCGAAAGAGAGTTTTACAAAAGCCCATGTAGTTTTTTTTTTTAAAAAAAACCTATAAATTAATATGAAAAATTTAATTTACGTAATGTAAATAAATATCGAGAATTTTTTTTTTAAATTCTTTATTTGAAACATTAAAATTATTGTGAATGTGTAATAATTTATATTATTTTCTTAGTGTTGAGAAAATAATGATAAACATAAAGTAGTACAGGCCTCGGATTATGCGACTTTTTTTTTTTTTTACTTTTTTTTCGAAAATACGACTTTCTTCGACTCATTTAAATAAAATGCGACTTATTCGACTTTTTTTTTTAACAATTATTTCTAAAAATTTTCTTCCAAAGTTCAATTATTTTTAATAGTTTTAATATTATTTTAAAAATTCAATTATTTAAAAAATTTACAAATAAAAACTCTAAAATTGAATTTTTTTTTTTAATTTTTCTAACTTAAGGGACGCATGAATTTCCCATAAAAATTATTAATTAGAATTTTCATTTCAAAGCATTTTATTAGAAATAATTATTTTTTTCGAATGAATTATCAGTTTTTGAATTAAAATTTGACAAATTTTCTAATACAAATTTGTACATAACAAAATATTTAGCTACCGATTTTTTGCCAGAATTTTTATTTTTATAGTCATTTAATTTACATGACTTTTTTATATAAAAAGAAATGTAATTTTATCGAATTTCAATTTAACAGAACATTTAATTAAATCAGAATTTTATCTAATTCGAATTTTTAAATGACAGAAATTCCAATTCTATTTTAATTTCAATTCAATTTTAATCTGACCGAATTGACAAATGAAAATTCGACGTCTTAAAAATATTATTAATTAAAAATTCGTTTAAATAAAAATTCAGACAAATTAAAATTCGGTGAATTAGAATTTCAGTCATTTAAAAATTCGAATCAGATAAAATTCTATTAAATGAGGAATTTTGCAAAATTAAAATTTGCTTAAATTAAAATTCACTTTAAGAAAAAAAGTCATGTAAATTAAAATAACTAGAAAATACAAATTTTGGCAAAAATTCGGTAGCTAATTTTGTTGTGTAAAAAATTCGTCAAATTCTGTCAAATTTTAATTTGATGCAATTCTAACTTAATTAAAATTTGAAAATTTACATCTTCGATTCTGAAATAGAAATAAATTTTCTTGATAATATTCCTATTGAATTATTCTTGTTAAGGAATTAATAAAATGGAATTTTATCTAATAATATTAATTATTTAAAATAAATTACTTATTAATAAAAAATAAAAAAAAATCGACTTTTTTTGCGCCTTAAAGTTGATTCGAGGCCTGGTTAGTAGTAAAAAAAAAAAAAAAAGGGATGGGTCGCATTTGTTGACTAGTTTTGTACACAGCTTGGGTGAAGGCACTAGGCCAACAAGGGGTCACACCAAATCTGCAAGCATCAGTGCAAGTCACCGTTCCTCGAGTGGGGTTCCCCCGGGTGATCATTCACTACTGGATTCTCAACCACGGAACGCTCACAACTCCCTCCTGGGCAATGCTGACCCCCTTAGGCAGAGGTACAGGCCCCCATCGTATAATCTGTCTATTTTTTTTACATTTTTTTTTAATTCTTAATTCCTTTTGTATTACCTATATGTATATTTGACGAATATTTATTTTAAAAAAACCTTTTTTTTTTGCAAGGGCCACTAACTTTCTTAGGGTGTGTGGGAATCCCATTTTTATATTTTATTTCACTATTTGAGCCATCTTTTATCAGGATGATTCAAGGAAGTAATAAAAAATTTTTTCTAAAAAAAAAAAAAATCGTCTCCTAAGGATAGTTGATGGTCATTTTCATTCTTCGAAAATATTTGGTAATGCATGGTTGATGATTTTTTTTTTTTTTTTTTTTTTAATGTCATCTTCATTCGTCTTCATTCATTTTAAAATACAATTTTACTCCAAAAAAGTGTAGTGTAGAGTAGAAAAAAAAATACCCGAATTGTTGGGCATGATTTCGTTTCGTCCGTTTTGAAAATAAGAGGTTAATGATTAATTACTTTTTGTGAATGGTATCTCTGAGGTTCTAAAAGCATGACTATTTTCTCATACTCTTAATTTATTATAACAATTTTTTGTAATATTTAGTTGTTGATTTTTAATTTTTTTTGAGAATTTTATGATAAATCGAAAAAAATGTTCTTATTTTACATAAAAAAAATCTATGATTTACTGGAGCATGTGACCTTATATTGAATGTATAATCTAATTTTTTTAAAGTGATTATTTTTTTTATAATCAAATGCAAATAATGTCTGGAGAATTAAAAATTTAATAATTTTAAGTTTTGTAAAGTGTTTCAAAAAAAAAAAAAAATGTTATAAAATGTGTTTTTTTTATTTGTATTTATTAAGTAAATTTTATTTTTGAGAACTTTTGTTTTCAAGTCGAATTTTTTTCGAAGATGATTTTTTAATTATTCTTTTTTTTATCAGCTTGGGAGTATCTCCAAGTAATAGATTGGCAACACCCACACCTCCAGCATTTCCAAGGAATGTTCCAAGTCGTAGTACTTTCCATTCTGGACAAAATAGAGCCCAACGAAATCATCCTCAGGTTCATATTTTAAATTTTTATTAATTAGTTTTAATTTCAAGTAATAGATAAAATAAGTAAATTATCTAAATTTAAAGTAGTTATTTAAAATTTTATTTTATTTACTTTTTAATAAGAATATTTACTTTTAATAACTAAATTTTTCATAAATAAAAGAATAATTTAATTTTTAATAAAAAATTAAGTCTTTTTTTTTAAACAAAATTATTTTCTTTTAATAAGTAAATTTTTAATAAAAATTAAAATTAAAGAATATTTTTGAAAAATACTTTAATTTATTAAAATTGTGATTTAAATTTTTCAGGGCCACACTCATACGCAAGACACAAATGCGATAAGCCCACTAGCAAGGCCGTCCTTTTTCTCCAAACTTTCTTCGAGGTTTTCTAAACGGTAAGTTAGTAAATCTATTTTTTATTTAATATTATAGTTTAAGGCATGCCAGGAATTCCAACTTGAAATACAACCATTTAATCTCATCTTGCCTGTTTCAACATTTATAATGCGAGCATTTATTCTTTTTCAGTTTTTGAAAAAAAAATTATTATTTTATTTTTTTAGTTTTTTTTGAGAATTTTTCAATTAATTTTGTATAAAAATCTAAGATACTAAAAAGGAATGTAAATGCTCACACCATAATATTTGAAATAATCAGTGTCTGCTTTATGAACTTTAATATATCTACCTATTACTGTTTGCATGCTAAATAATGTTTCTGTTTTAAGGATGCACAATGACTATGTAATTCTGGAAATTGTATAGTGATGTAATGCCTACATTAAGATCGACACAGGGTCTTTTAAAAAAAAAAAAAAAAAAAAAAAAAAATCTGTAATTCGATGAGCCAGCAGCGACCATTATCATTGAAAGCCGTTAAAATATTAATTAAGAATTTTTTTTTTTTTACACTTTTGCTACACTATATTAATTTTTCTGTACACACGATTGTACATTATCGCGTTCCATTTTCTCTGTGTTTCTCTAATCGTCCCCATCGTGTTTTACAATATTATCCTTTTATTAATTATAATCCTTTTTTTTTTAAAAAAAAACAGTATGTCATCCACCCTTAAAAAATTCCTAATATAATTTTGGTTTGTAATTTTTTTTTTTTATTTGGCAATTTTGTTCAAGGGAAAAAAACATTTGGCATTGAGGAAACATAAATTAAAAACAAATTTCTTGCACTTTATGTTTGTTTTCATTCATCACAAATTCTAATGAATATACAAGAAACTAATAACTGCTTGGCATATAAAGCTCAAAAATGTCCTCGCATATTCATTGTGCATCCCTTTTGACATGATCGTAGCGAGGCAAAATCCTTATCTAGACATTTCCTCTCGGCCTTTAGTTGTTGTTACGTACATTTTTTTTTCTTCAATATATTGTAAATAGAATAACGACGTAATTCTGCGCACGTGATAAAAATACACTTAGACTTCGCGAGACCACAGAATAACGAGGGTGTTACCATTTTTTTACAATTAAAAAAAAAAAAAATAAGGGATCGAAAATAAGGATTAAAAAAAACAATTGTCTTTCATGAAATGGTCACTGTAATCATCGGTTTAGCAGAATTAACGAATCAGCATAGCCATTGATGCGCATCCTTTATAACAATTAACAATAATCCATTATCGGTTATTATATTCTGTGCCGCAGGACTTGAACCAAATAGCTTGGCTTCATCTCTCAACAAGATGAATTGGCCATTGAGAAAACGAGTCTTAATCAACGTGTGTAATGTACCGAAATTTGTCGGTATTCAGTGCAGCATTCCTGAATTCCCTCCCCAAATGAAAACTGAAGTGTGGCACACATTGATTACAAGTTCGATGGATTGATTTTGAGATGCGCTCGACTCCGTTATTCTGTGGTGTCTATTTTTCTGTCTCTACAAGAACATCAACAACAGCAAAAAAAAATAAATAAAATAAAATAAAGAAGCTCTTTTCACCTCACACAGCGAACACAATTATAGGAAAAATAAACCTCCCCTTAATATGTGATCATCATAAACGAAAAAAAAGAAAAAAAAAAAAAAAAAATTCATGTCTTCCGGAAAAGGAAGCCGCCTTGATGCACTTAGAGATAGCACTAAAATCCGTGCCTTTCCCAACCTGCCACCCTTACCCCCTACCTTGCTATATAAAATATATATATATACAAGCACTTGGAGTCTTTCGTCGAAAAAAAAATTATCCCAAGCATATTTTTCTACTCTTTCCAAAAAAAAAAAAAAAAAAAAATAATAATAATAAATTCGATAGGACTCGCTGTACTTAGCTATTCATACGAACTTAGCGTCAAGTCTCAACAAGACCATGTTTTGTGCATTTTTTTTTTTTTTTTAGAAGAAATTTTTGCAAACAAAAGTGACAAACATTTTTTTTTTAACATGTAAAAAGAAAAAATGTAATTCTGCAATTTCCATTACAGGCCTCGGATTACTTTTTCGACTTTTTTTTTCGAAAAATGTATACAGATATTTTTTTATTTTAATTATTATTTAACAAATTTTCAAACTAAAATTCTTCTCTAAATTAATTATTTTCAATGATTTTTAATTAAATTCCTCATAAATTCAATTATTTTTATTTTTCAATTTGAAAATTTTTTATGAAATTCAACAATTTGCAATTTGAAAAAAAAATCAAATAAAATTACCAAAAATTTCACTTTAAAATTTTTTAAAATTTTCCAATTTAAAATTTTTTAAAATTCAATAAATTACAATTATAATTCTTTTGAAATTCAATTATTTTAAATGATTTTTATAATATTCTTTGAAAATTCAATTATCTGAAAGCATTTTTCAATATAAAAATAAAAGGTTTGAAATTCAATTTTTACCTGTAATTTATAATAAATTTTTCAGTAACAGAAATAACTGAAAATTTGAAACAAAAATCTCTTAATGTTCAATTAATTTCCAAAATTTGAATTGTAAATTGTCGAAAATTTTTTTTTTTCAATCTCAATGAAAATTACGCAAAAATTCAATTATTTTCAAAAATTTCAATTTAAATCTATCAAAAATTAAATCATTTATAAAAAACTTTGTTCAATTTAGCTAAAAATTTAGTTTTCAAAAATTTTAATGCGAATTAGTAAAAAAAAAAATTGATAAAAATTCAATTTTCAAAGATTTTAGTTCAAATCTGCGATAAATTAAATTATTTCTAAAAAATTTTTTATTATCAGTCAGAAATTACATTACTTTTCATAATTATAATTGATCAAAAACTTTGTCTTATTTATTAATTTAAGTAAAATATTTCTTAACTAATTAAATGTAATTAAAATAAAAAAATAGACTTTTTCGACTTTTTTTTTGGGGGGGGGAGGGGGAATGTAAATCGACTAACAATTTTTTTTTTTTGCTTTTTAAAATTGATCTGAGGTCTGCCATTGGGAAATAAAAAAACTAACTGACAATAGTCAAATTCTTCTATATTAATTTCTTGTTTTTGATTTCTAATCTATATATTTATAGAAAAATAATTTTAAAGTTGATAAAATGAATAAATGTTTTGCATAATAAATTATTAGTTAATTCATTTTTTAAAATAAAAGTGTTTTGGCAATTTGAAAATAAAAAAATTGTACACTTTTAAAGAAATTTTTTATTTATTATAATCTTGACTTAAATTGATTTTGGCAATTTATTGTTCTCTAGATAATTTAAGATATATTAATTTAAATTTTTAATTATAATAAAATATAAAAAGTAATAATAATTGATTTAATTATTTCAATAATAAAATAACAATTGAATTATTAATTCAATTTTTTAAAATATAACTAACGTCTGAACAAAATTTACAAAAAAAATTTTTGTTTTGACAAAAACTGATTTTAAATATCTAGTTTTTCTTTCTATGTAAATTTCAAAATTAAAATAGAAAACCTTTTCATATGAAATTAAATGTTTATTTTAAAAAAGCGCAAAACAATGGCCTAGCCTTTTAACAGCTCAATCCTATATAGGGTAGTTATATTATTACGTAAGCCGATAGTCATTAATCGATGATAATTTTAACAGCGTTTATTTTTATTCGTCATGAGGAAAATAAATCTATTAGCCAAGAAATATAATCTAATGTAAATTTATATTATAATATTTTTACATTAGTTATTTTACAAAAAAAATAGCTATAACGCTTCTAATTTGTTTTCCTCTTTTTTTTTGTAAATAGTGTGATCTTTAATAATTTGAAAAAATAATCCTGCGCATAATCGTAAGCAATTAGAGAATTGGTTATCAGTTCTCGATAATCGATATCCGCTCATATATAATAAATTGATCCATTTCTACGAGGGGGGAAAAATTTTCTTTTTGTTCCTCCAAAAAAATTCACATTGGAATTATAATAAAACGAACACTTTTCAAAAAGTGCCTGTGCCGTATTGAGATCTGTAATATCGTTCGTTTAATCATCTAAATATGTAAATTTTTTCCAATTTCGAATCGATTTATAGATTATATATTATATATACATATATATATATTATAAAGGCATTATAGTGAATATTTTTTAAACGCCAAACATTTGTCGCATTAATTTTTTGTCAGTTTTGTAGGAAGTAAAACAATTTCGATTTATTAATTGATAACACTTGCAGTAAAATAATAACTTAAAAAAAAAGATAATTAAAAATTGTTTTGAAAAGTATTTTAATTTTTTTTTAATTTTTTGTTTAATTTTTCTTTTAAATTATTATTTAATTGCAAATTTATTTTTTTTTTATTATTAAATATACAATTATAACGATTAATTATGCTGCGAAAGTGCTCTCTAAAAATTTTGCAATACGCACTTATTTAATTCTTTGAGTCACAGCTGTTGCTAGTCTCTTCTTATTTTTTCGATTGTACATATATATTTCTTTGGAATTCATCGATAAGTTTTTTTTTTTCATTATTCTTCTCAAAAAATACTCAATTTCATTTAATTTTTTGTAAATAGTTCATTGTAAGTAAACTAAGAGAAACTATCCGCTTTTTACGTTTAATTTTTTGCTAAATAATTTTTCCATTTTTTATTTTTGAGGCTGCTGATTTTATTTTATTTTTAATTTGACGATAAATAAAACCATAAACTTGAAATATTTTTTTCTGAAAAAAAAAAAAAAATTAGAATTTGAATCAGCGGCCTCAAAAAGAGGAAAAGAAAACCCCCTGTAATTTGTCTTAATTGCGTGACTCCAAGGGTTAAAAGTGTAGTTAGTTTTTTTTTTTGTGCAATTTGTATGATCAAAAAAATGTAGTCGAGGACCCGCAAAAAAATATATTATTATAAAATATATAATATTATGAAATAAAATAATCTATTTAAAACAAAATTGTAATTATCCTGCGTTGACAGGTTTACTAAATGAAGGATGATAATTCACGTTGTTTTCCGCATGAAAATCAGGAGCAGCAAGACGCCGAGAATATCACAATTTAATACTAAGTAATCATCACATCAAATGCGAGTCGCCGATTATTTTTTGTTTCGATAATATTAAAAGAAAAAAAAAACAAATTTAAAAAAATAATAATAATAATATTAACAACACTTTTGATCTCATACTGTTTTTATATACAGTATGTTAACCAATAGCGATAGCGTAATTATGTAATTTACCAATAGACATATATATATATATATTTCTTTTTAAAATTATTTTTAATTTTTTCACTTGTATACGAGATTGATAAGGAAAATAGTTTTTTTTTTTTTTTTTTTTTTTTTTGAAACTATTATAGACTCGTCGACTCTCGTTAACGATAAAAAAAGAACTTTGATTTAAGTACGATTCTCAAACTTCGCATTTAAACAAAATAAAATAATTGTGTTAGTTCGGCTACGCGTAATTGTTTAAGATGACTGTGATCCTTCTTTTTTTTTTTTTTTTTTTGCGACGATTATTATCTGTATATAGAATCCATATAAAGTGTAACACAATCAGATTTGAGAAATCGCGCTAAGAAATCGCTTTCTTATTTTTAAATTTACTTTCGATCAATAATTTTGTTTATATTTATTTCAAGTATAATCACGCAATTTAGAATTATGAGTAATTATTTTTGACAATCACACGATTTTTTTATTTAGTTATGAGGCAATTATAAAAAAATTTTTGAATATAAATATTTTAGAGAGCCTCCTCGTTCTTTTAATTTTCCTACTCAATTTTTTTTTTTTTTTTTTTTTTCGAAATTCTTCTACAGATTGGAAAAGAAAAAAAAATTCTTGATCTCGATTGACTATTGCTCATAAATTTTAAATGATGTAAAATTCTAATATCAGTAATATTAAAAAAATATAAATAAATTACAAAAACAAGAGAAATTAACATGTTATTCGCAATATTTTTTTTTTCTTATTTTTAATTATTTCTATGACAGAATTTTTATAAACTTTTTGTCTATTTAAATGAAAAAATTTAATATAATTTTAAATTTATAGGAAATAAATTTAAAAGAAATAATGTTAGAGAAAAATAAATTAGAGAAAAAAGAAATGAAGAAAATGAAATTTTTTAATTGTAAAAAAAAAAAATGTTAGAGAGTAATATTTATTTTCAAAATGTTTTTTCGAATTAATTTTTAAAAAAAAGTCCGATAATATAGTTAACAAAAAGAAAAAACAAAAATTTGTTCTGATTTATCGAAATCTTCCCTTGAAACTAGCATTTATTGTCCAAAGAATATATTATATTCTTTTGCATTTAGCAGCTTCGAATTATTCAAATAATGATAATTATTAACTATTATTATTATGTTATTTTTATTATTATTATTATTATTATTATTATTATTATTACAATTATTACTATTATTATTATTATTATTATATTACTATTATTCTTATTATTATATTATCATTATTCTTATTTTATTATTACTATTATTATTATAATATTATTATTCTTATGATTATTATTATTACGATTGCCTTTAATTCTGTGCAAAAAAATTGCGGGTGAATGTAATAAGAGTAAAAGTTCCAATATGTATATTTTATTACATGATAATAATCTTAAATTTTAGAAAGTATTGCATTCGACGTTGAATTAGTAAAAAATTAATGGAATTCAAAGAAAAAAAAAAAAAAAAAATGGTGGTAGTCATGAATGCGTGTAAAATAGTGTAAACTATTAAAATGAGAAGATGGCAAGAAAAAAAAGCGTCCGTTAGATTTATGTGAAAAAAAAAATAATTAGGAAAGGCAAAAAAGGCGAAATGAAAAATAAAAGTATTTAAAAAATGAACACACATTATTATATAGTAAAAAAAATAAATAGACACGATTATTCTAAATATGTATAAATATATGAGCTTTGGTATGCTTGTGATATGCGCGCTGTTTGCTGTTTTCCACTTTTTTTTTATTTTTTGCTCATTTTTTAGCACATTAAAATTTTTTTAGTTTTTTTTTTTTTTTTTTTTTTTTAATTTCACTTTGTTATGATTTTTTTTCTTTTATTAATGTCAAAAGTGGCCTAAGTTGAATAAATTTTCTTTTTTTCTTTTACTCACCGTTATTTTTGGAGAACAGTAAACGGCACACCAAGAGAGAAAAAAAAATCTAATATAGAAATAATTATTGTTTTATAATTTTAAGAAGCAATAAGAGGAATAATTTCATAAGCATAGTATAATAAATCTTTTAAAAATACCTCATAAACGTCTTAAAAATTTATTTTAGAAATAAAAAGCAAAAAAAAAAAAAAAAGAAAACCTGTAACAAAAGCATAGTTACCTGCGATCATGATTCAAATGCACGTTATCCTTTCAGTATCTGAATGCACATACATACACACATACACACAAATAGCGGCTTTGCAAAAATTATTCATGCGATCGATTTACAAAAATATTCATCATTTGCAAATTTCAATTTTTTTTTACTTTGAATTTATTTTTTTTCAATTATTTCGCTATTTTAATATTTTGTGCCAATAATTAAAAAGAACATCAGTCAGTGGCATCATTTTTTTTTTTTTTTGTGTTTTAATCAGAAATTATTTTTTAATTTTTTTTTTCATTCAGATGCAGACTGGTGATGGTTGTACATAAAAGAAAAGAAAAAAAAAAAATTCGAATATTTTATCAACTTTAGTGTTTTGTTAGCAATTGCCTTTGTTTTGTTATTTCAGCCCCATGGACCCATCCGTTTCCCCAAAGCACCCAGTAGTGAGGTACGTTTTTAATACCACAAATCCATCTTTAATTTATTTTTTCAACATTTCTTTTTTTCATCCTTTTAAAATTATTTGCGTTATTATTGAGGAAATCATGTTTTATTATAATTTATTCATTATAATTTCTGAAAATAAATTGAAATATTTTTTATTTTAATTTCACAGTAAAATAATCGATTTCCTCAATAAAAGCACGTTTGCATCTTCAAAAAAAATTGTGAAAGTATTTTTTTAATTATAATAATTCATGATGAAACAAAAAATATAAATTGCCTTTTTTTTTGCAGTAGACGTAGAGAAAAAAAAGGAAAAACTATTTTTATTCTTTAAATAAAAATCATTCATAACTTTGTATGTGCCGCATGTATTTTTCTACTTTAAATTTTTATAATATTTTTTTTTATAATTATAATAAGCTTTGCAGAATGTTTCATTGCTCAGTGTCGCATCTTGAAGAGAGAAATATCAAGAGTTTTAGAGAAATTTTTATTAAAACTCTTTTTTTGAAAGTTAAAAAAAAAAAACTTTTTTAAAATTTCTTTTTATTGGTTTCAGTTTGTTTTTCGTTTCATCTGTTTTTCTATCCTCAATTTTTTTTTTTTTTAAAGAAATAAAATTTTCTACCATGATTGTAAATAAATTTCTATTACAGTGGAGCAACAACTAATGATGATCAGGTGAAACCTCGTAGTTTACGATTTACTTGGAGCATGAAAACAACTAGTAGTCGAGATCCAACTGAAATCATGTCTGAAATTCGAAAGGTAATTTTATAGAAAAAAAAGCTGGAAATTTAAATTTTTTTATTAAATTAATATTTAATTTTTGAAAAAATTGTATTTTTTTGGAAAAAAGAGTAAAATGTTTTTTTTTTTTTTACAGGTACTGGATGCTAATGAATGTCAATACGAACAAGCAGAACGATTCCTCTTGCTTTGTGCACACGGTGATCCAGCAACGGATAGTCAGGTACAATGGGAAATAGAAGTTTGTAAACTGCCACGGCTCTCTTTGAATGGCGTGCGATTCAAACGTATATCAGGTAAATTGAAAATTTTTCTTTCAAAACGTATTTTTTTTCAAAAAATTTAAATTTTCATTCAAAAAATTTAATTTTTTAAAAAATTTAATTTGTATAATTTTAAATAATTTTCTCCATTCAATAGAATTTATAAATAAAATAATATTTATTATAAAATTTATTAGAAATAAAAATGCAATTTTTTTTTTTTTAGGTACTTCTATTGGGTTCAAAAACATCGCAAGTAAAATTGCAAACGAACTCAAGCTGTGACTGCCGGCCACAGGCGCTTTAGCCGCTCGCGCCAATCCATAACCCCCTCGCGTTTTGTGCCACCAAGTGGCAAAGTCTGAAGAATTCTATTCTTGTTTCTTCTGGGACTCTGACTCTGAATCGGAATCGGACACGCAAGAGATATTCGTTTAAACGCCCCCTGTTTCCCAGTTGATGGATTACAAAACAAAAAACAAAACATCTTCGAAGGCACAGGATTTAAAAAAAAAAAAAGCCAAGATGTGATCTTTAGGTGAAAGAAGAAAAAAAAATCTGTGATCCATAAATGGCTGAAAATAAACAAAAAAAAAAATATATAAAAAGAAAATACTCTTGAGTGCCAAAATGGTTCAGTCTGAAAAAGACGTGTGAGAATCGTCTATTGAAGCTGGAATTATAATTTTTTTTTTTAATTTCACCAAGAAAATTTTTTTTTTTATTCTTTTATTATCAGAGCTTAGTTTTGTTTCTTTTATTTCTAATTAGCAGTATTATCTGTTATTTGGCAGAGTGTGAATTAAATTCTTTTTTTGAAAAAAATCTTGGAGGGAATTGTTAAAAAAAAAATATATATATGTAGAAAAAAAACTATTTAATTTTACGTTTTTTTTTTTAGTCTTTTTTTTTAATAATAAATACATTTTTAAAGTTTTTAAATAAGGGAGAAAGGTGAAATTACTTTTTTTTTCGGATCAAATAGTGAAAAAGCTGCATTTGCAAGAGACAACAATTTTTGCGGATAAAAATTACGCGAATTTTTTTTTTTTTTTTCCTCTCAAAATAATTTTTAAATGAACACAAAATATAATTCTGCAAAGTCAACAGCATTATAGACACTAGAAGTTTAATTAATTAAAAAGCTTATAAATGAGCTATTATTGTATTATTGGTATTAATTGCTATGAGAATAAACGGGCGACGTATCGTTATATCGAAGTTATTAGGTGAAGTTTAAAAATAAATTTAAAGTGACTGTCCTCCCCCCACCCCCCCAAAAAAACGTAATGTGAATAAATTATATCCTTAAGTACTTTCGACAGTTTCGTATAATAATAAATAATATTTAAGATCTGCTATTTCCATTGAAGACATAATATTATTAAATTAGGTATTATTAAAAAAAAGAAAAAAAAATTGGCCGCATTATATTTCTTATTCACTTTTTTAGCGATCGATGTACGTGTGTGTGTGAGGAAAGACGACGATGTAAATACAAATATTAAAATTTGAAAAAGGTACTAAGGTTCTAAAAAAAAAAATGGACAACACACGTACATCAAGAAAAAAATTTTTTATATTCGCCTAAAGGGGTTTTATCGATTAAAGAATCGCTAGGCAATGACTAATAATTTATTTACAATTTACGAACGAGTTGAGTTATTTTTATACTTCCAGTGCGACGAATTTCCGCGATTACTTAGAAAAAAAAAGAAAATATGAAATACACAAAAAAAAATGCTGCGAATCGATAAATGACTGATAACAAATAAATATCGAATCCAGCAAAAAAAATATCGTCATTTGATCGGAATATATTCATGCGATTTATTTTTATTGTTTTTTTTTTTCTCTGCACAATAAGTGTACACATCAGGCATCGGGACTTACTCTCAATTTATTTCTTAAAGTATACATATATATATGTAAATATTTTATATATGTATACAAAAGCCCTCTGCCTGTAAATTTTTTTTTTCTCCTTTTTTCGAGGAAACTGAGAGTAGTTTATATTTATTTCTTAAACAAAACAAAAAAAAAAAACAAAATAATCGATAATAAAAATCTGAAAAAAATGAATTTTGTATAAATAAAAATAAAATCAATGGATTTTTAAAAGACAATCTTCATTTTGGGATTATTATTTTTGATTATTGTTTGGATATACAATGGTGTGAAACTATGTTATTTTTTATATAATATATATATAGTTTTTCGCCAGTTCGATTTATACTCTGATCTAAGATGACAATGTAAAATAAAGATTCAATATTAGTATCGTATTTAAAGAAAGAAAAAAAAAAAAAAAAAAAAAAAAAAAAGAAGTTCTGTGAGTGCAAACTGCATCCGCGACTAGAATTGTTATTACATTAAAGAATTAAAAATAAATTCAGAGTCCTCTTATATTTAATTTACTACTGTTAGGAAATTAAAATGAAAAAAAAAATAATAATGTATCACTCCGATGCAGTTAATATAGTATAATAGTGATAATAGTAATGTTAATGGTAAAAAAAAAGGAAACAATCCCTAACACGTAGGTAAATAATGATGTACTGTATACTATACATACACCCACCCTCAGCTCGCTTGCTTTAACAAAAAAAAAAAAAAAAAAAAATTGAATGTATAAATCAATTAATATTTAACAGAAAATAAAAAACCAATTATCGGTTTTTTGAGATGAAGGTCAATATTTTCAAAAAAAAAAAAAAAATAATAATAATCGACGATCGATTCAAATATTAATATAGACAACACATTATTCGAATTGATGTTTAATTTTAATCATTTCGAAGGGAATGTTGTCGAAATTGTCGTAAAAATAAAATAAAAACAAAAAAAAAAAAAAAGAAATAAAAAATGAGACTCGCGCGTGTAATTCACATCTGTAGATAGGTACATAAAGCTTTGCTAAGTGTTTTATGGTGATTTGTTTTATGGTATGTAGCGAAAATCATTTTTAATAAAAATGGTAACACATATTTTGCAAAATGTCATTTTAAAAATTATGTTTCAAGAAATACTTTTTTTCTTTAGGTACATATATATAAATTCAGATTATTTTCCAGTGAAATAATATAATTATAAAATTTTTGGAAGTATTTTCAGTGCGTTGTGAAGCGATTATAAAATTTTATTACCTCTATTACCTGCAACCCGTATTGAATGTTTATATTAATAAACAAAGAGTAAATCGAAGGTCATAAAATCCTAAAGATAATTCAATCAGTCGCAATGTGTCTATTGAACTGAACGTCTTCTAAGAGCAGATTTCGTAAATTTAAAAACAAAATTATTCGGGAGTGCTCAAATTTTAATTCGCGAACAAAAAAGTATTTTAGAACGTTAATTTTTTTTTTATTTTAGTAAATTATTTATTTCGAGAGTGTTCGAAATTATTAAAATCGTAATCATTTAATTTTTGTATTTTGCTATTTTTAAACACGTGGTTTTGGGAATTTTCGAAATTATTTAAATCGCGTGTGTTTCCGGCAAGAACTTATCGTCTCAACACATAATCTTACAAGCAAGGTTAAAGATTTTTTTATATTAAAATGGAACTGTTTTTTTTTTACTAAAAAAAATTAAAAAATAAATTAAATATAATAATAATTGAATTAAATAAAAAAAAGTCAAAATTTAAAAAATTGTAGTAGCATTATACTTTTTTAATTGCTTCAAAAAAATATTGATGATTAATATAAATAAACTATAAATTTAAATTGAAATAATTACTGCGAAATCTTTCAAAATAATTTAAATTCAACATGAATAGTTAATTAATTCTATTAATAATTAATTATATTAATTTAAAAATTCATATAATTTATAAAGAATAAAAAAAAACATTTTAAAGTAAGTTAGATTCTTTTATTAACAATTTATTTTTTTGCAGCTATTACAAAATTAAAAAAAGAAATTTAACAATTCGCTGATATTTTCAGGTATTACAAAATTCGTCGAAAAAAAAATATTAACAATTCGCTGATAAATTAATTTTGTTTAAACATTTCAAAATTTTAATTTTTGAAAATAAAAATAATAATTCAATAATTTTTGAATAATTACAACAAAGAGTATCAAAAATTAATAAGGAAATAAAATCAGTTTTGTAAGTCATATACATTATAACAAAAAAATATTTATCAATTTGAGTCTTTTTAATCGATTTCAGAAGACACAAATTTTTATAACAAATTATTATGCAAGAATATTTAGTTCCTATTAAATTCATCAAAAAATAACTATTAACAAAAATTGATTCAACAAAGAATATTTAAAAAAAAAACAAATAAATAAATAAAAATAGTTCTGTAAAATTGTAACAAAAAAAAGTAATTTCTAAATGTGTCTGTAATTTAATCGATTTGAGACACAGAATTTTATAGGTACACATTATTATGCAAATATTTTTTTTAAATTTTCAACAAAATTCATCGAAAAACAACAGGTACAATAAAAATTATCAAAAAAAATAGCTGTCTATAAATAAAAATAAAAATAAAAAATTCAATTACTAAAATGTCTAACTTAATTTTTTTTGCAATATTTAACGTAAATTTTGTAGAAATTATGCTGTGTTTAAAATTTGCTTCTTTTTGATAAAATTTGAATTATCACTCAGAAGAAATAAGTTTTTCAATAATATATTTATGACTATTTTTCAAAGCATCTTGCATTTCTGAATATTCAGACAAGACACAAGCCTCTTCAATGGGAAGCCATTTAAAGTCTTGATGTTCTCTGGATAAACGAGCTTCTTTATTCTTATTGACTAATTCTGCTAACCAATATATCACAATTTTAGGTCTTCCCTTCACTAAATATTCCATTTCATGTTTAGAATCGGTAAATATTTTCATATCATCCTGAGAAAAGCCAGCTTCTTCCTCTGTTTCTCGAAGAGCAGTTTGAAAATCACTCTCACATTTATCAACATGACCTTAATTTTCAAAAAATTCTATTATTAATAATTAAATTTAAAAACAAGATAAATTTTCATTTTTTATGTACAAAATTTGTTAAAAATAATTAAATTTTTCAATACCTTTCGGAGGAGTCCAATGATGATGACCGTATGAGGTTTGCATTAATAAATATTCAATTGATCCTTTAAATCTTCGAAATATTATAAAGCCACATGCTCGTTTTCCCATATTTAAAATTTTATTGAAAAATTCCAACAATTTGAAAAATTTTCGGAGTAACCTTCACGTGTTAGAGAATATTCTAAAATTATTGCAAATGATTTCTCTTACAATTTTCTTTTAATCACTGATTAATTAAAAAAAAAAAAAAAATTATCACAATTTTTACCAAATTATAATTGTACAGCTATATAAATATCCATCAATTTTATAAAAATGTCAAATTTTATTTACCAACAAATGTATATATGACGACAGCAGGAGCGACGAATGTAACTTCTGAACCCTAGACTTAACTCCCACAAATTCAAATTTAAAACTTTTTGGATTTTATTGATTATTATTTATTAATTTTTCAATCATTTGCCAAATTAATTGTCTCAGTGAGAAATTTTCCATTAATTATTAATATAAAAAAACTAAAAATGTTTGTCAGGGGAAAATTCAAATTTGAATGAGTCGTGCGCCAATTCCAGTAAAGTAATATTGATTGGCTGAAAATATTCCTTTAGAAGTGGCGCGAGACTCTTTCAAATTTGAATTCTCCGTTGGACAAAATTAAGGTGCTTTTGTATCGCCTCGCTTTCCGGCAACAATTTTCACGGAGAATCACTGAATTTGATTGGCTGTAACAAATATTCCATTTCCATCGTGAAAATGAAATATTGTTAGAGCCAATCAAATTCAGTGATTCTCCGTGAAAATTGTTGCCGGAAAGCGAGACGATACAAAAGCACCGTTTTTCTTTATCAATAACTCATGGGAAATTTCTTTTAGATGTTTGCAAGTTTCGCTGATTAACGAATATTTTATGATCTGCAAATAAAATTTACTAATATATTAGTAAATTTTATTTACGTATACGATTGGCGGACGAAAATTTCTTCTTCTTCGTCAGGAAATTGCGCTTAATTCAAAAATTCTCTAAATATTAATTTTGAAGCAAATTCGAAAGTTGCAAACCACTTTCCCTTATTTTTTTTTTAAAACTGTTTTTAAATTAATTAAAATAAAATTAATATTTTAAAAATAAGTCCAGGAATTAAAAATAATAATATTATAAAGAAAAAACAATATATGTAACAAATTGCTTGAAATTTCTTTTTGTCTTTTACCAAATACATAAAATATTGTACACATTAAACGATACCTCCCTTCCAAATGCGCAAATATATTCACAGTAAATCGAGCATTCTCTCTTTCTCTCTCTCTCATTCTAGTGGAAAACGAAATATGGAGGAAGAGGAAAAAAAATTATGTCATAAATTCTTTTTTTTTTTTTGTTGCATCCAGATTGATTATTTATAATATTTACCTTAATGAGAAAGTTAAGCTATAAATTAATAAAAAATCTTATCTCAATTATTTTTAACAACTGTACTTGATTAAAAGATTTCTTTTTTCGTAATACAAATGATTGGTGTTAAATTGTTTCTTACATTATAAAAATTTCTTTTTAAAAAAAAAAACGACAGAAAAAAAAGTTGACAAAAAATTAGGTAATTCTCATAGGCTATACTTTCATTTATTATAATTTTTTTATATTTGTAAAAGTTTGACATTTTTTTTTCTTCCTTAAAAATTGTATTGTACACGGTTTTTATACAACTAGAGTGCTAAAAAATGCATTATGTCTGGACGCAAAGCGCTTAAAAATCGGCGACTCTCGTATATATATATATTTTTTTATATGACTTACAAAGTAGATGACAAAAAAGTTTAAACGTAGTTTTCAAAAACTGGAAAAATTTATTTATTTTAAGCTTCGGTAGATTAGTTTTGATATGATGCTGAATTTATTAAAAAAAAAAAAATTGTAAAATTCCATTTAATTGTTAAAAGTTGTTTTTTTTTCTATACTTTAGTCTGACAAAATGATATTAACAATTAATTAAAAAATGTGGCTGATAAAAAAATTAAAAATCTATTTTTTTTCGACAATAAAAAATACATTCTAGCATTCACACTGTCTTTTGCCAATCAGCGGATTCTTGACAAAAAAAGGCTCGATTGTTTTTTTTTCTTCCTTCGGAGCCATAAAAATTGATTTTTCTAAAAATGTTCGTCACTATTTTTTTTTTATTCAATTCACATTTCGTTAATCTTTCCTTGAAAAAATTTTTAAGTGTACAAAAGAAATCTCAATTCGTGTATCCTTCACGGAAAATGGTCCGCTGAGGTGACGAGTTGACTTTATGTTAGAAAGCGTCTAAAAGAAATGTATGGTTAAGACTCTGATCATTTGATTCCTTTGAATCGCAACCTCCGGCCAAGACTCGAACATCACGATCCGGATCCTGCTTCAATTTTTCAATTAACAATCTCGTCCTCTCGACATTGAACCTATCAACTGTAAACAAAAAGAAAAAATTTATTAATAGAATTTCTTTTTTGAATGTTTTTTTTTTTTTTTGTAAATAATTTAAATTTAACTTACTACCCAAGGGTAAGATGTCATTTGCTAAAGTCCTAGCTACAACCAAACGAACATTTGGTACCTTGTCTTCACTTAAACTGTATAGGTGTGGGAGCATTTCATTGACGAAAATTAAGATGTTAATTGATTCAGTGCTAATGAGTTGCGAACAAATAAGAGCATAAGTCTGTCTACATTTCCATTTATTGAATATTAATTGATGATTAAGTTCCTGTATCAATGCTATCACCAAAGGTTCTTCACTTCCCAAGAACATAGTAATTCTCGTTATCTGCAATGTAATTATTAAATTAGTTAATTATTAAGTAGGACAAATTTAAAAAAAATCTTAAAGTTACATTTTTAAATTTTCTACAATTAAGCAATTTAAAATATTCAGAAATAAAAAATATAAAAAATTACCGACATCAAAATTTTCCATACCGACTAATGGTAAAGAAATTTTTTTTGAAAAATGACAATATAAAAAATTACTGACACAAAAATCCACCTTACCGACTGATGGTAAAGAATTTTTTAAATGATAATATAAGAATTACCGACCAAGAAATCTGCCTTACCGACTGATGGTAAAGAATTTTTTTTTTTTAAATAATAATATAAAAAATTACCGACCTAAAAATCTGCCTTACCGACTGATGGTAAAACAAATTTTTTGAAAAAATGAAAATATAAAAAATTACCGACACAGAACTCTACCTTACCGACGGATGGTAACTTATTAAATTTTAGAAACTTTTCTGAACTGTTTTACCATCAGTCGGTAAGGTAGATTTCTGTGCCGGTAAATTTTTATATTTTCATTTTTCAAAAAATTTGTTTTACCATCAGTCGGTAAGGCAGATTTCTAGGTCGGTAATTTTTTATATTATCATTTTAAAAAAATTCTTTACCATCAGTCGGTAAGGTAGATTTCTATGCTGGTAATTTTTAAAAAAAATCTGTTTTATTATCAGTCGGTAAGGTAGATTTTTAGGTAGGTAATTTTATATTTTCATTTTTTCAAGAAAATCCGTTTTACCATCTGTCGATAAAGTAGATTTTTAGGTCGGTAATTTTTGTATTATCGTTTTAAAAATTCTTTACCATCAGTCAATAATGTAGATTTCTGTGTCGGTAATGGTTGTATTTTTATTTTTCAAAAAACTTATTTTACCATTAGGCAGTAAGATGGAAAATTTTAGAAATAATTAAAATTTAGAAGATTTTTAATTGTAATTTTTGAAAATAGTCTAATTTTAATAATTAATAATATAATAATAATTGAATTCGTAAAGAATTTCATTAAAATTATTGAAAAGAAAAATTAATTTATAAAAGAATTTTTTGTTAATAATTTATTAAATAATTAAAAGAAAGAAGATCTGTATTTCGTTTAGAAATTTTGTAAAAAATGAATTAAAAAAAAAGTTAAAAAAATAGCATCTCATTAAAATAAGTCGAAAAAAGTCGTATTTACAGAAAAAAAAGTCGGAAAAAATCGAATAATCCGAAGCCTGTAAATTATTAAAAATTTCATTAAAATAATACTTTGTATAAAGAAAAATATCTCACCAATTTAAGTGCAATTTGTCTCACAGCAGCCACTTTATCCTGCAGCAATTGCAATGCCAACGGTGCAATATGTTCAGAAATATCTTGCGGCTCATAAAGTAAAATTGCATTCAAAAGTTGATTAGCAAATTCCTCGCGAAATCTCCAATTACATTCATTATCAGTGACAATAAAATCCGATAATTTTGATAAATATTGCTGTCGATTTGCTGGCCTAAGAACTTTTAAAAATGTACTAAGATGTTTTAGTGCACCAATTCTAACTTCATCGAGATCTTTAATGAAACCATCATAAATTGGCATTAGATCAGTGCCAGTGAGTTCTTCGCCTAAAATCAATGCAATCTCATGAATACTTGATGCAAGTGTACATCGTACTTTCCATTGTACAGCGCATGCCAATGATTGATAAGCGTTCTTTAATTGGAACCAATTATTTCTGCCTAGTGTCATAACAACAGCGGGAAAATAGAAGGCACATTGATGATGAAGTTCTGACGGTGAATCAAATAGAGGCGTTGGATCGGCCATTGATACAAAACGACTTATTAAAAATTGAGGTACACTTTCGTCTGTTTCTTTTGTTTTTGATTTTAATAGCGGCGGAAAGGAATTCTCAGTTAATGAAAATTCTGGTTTTATTTTCACATTAGTCCTTGAAGAAATTTCGGAATTTATTGATTCTTCATTGGATTTCTTCTCCTCAGCGATTACTTCTTTATTTATATTGTTATCTACATTTTCAGAATTTCCAGAATTTTCACAATTGTTCTCTATTTCTTTAGTCAAATTTTCGTTGTCCGATTTTGTTTCCTGATTATCTGACAAAACGTCCATTTGCGAAATTCGACTATCATACTCGAGATCATAATAATCGCCGAACATTTTTCTAAAATCTTCTGATTGTGTTATATCGCTCGGGCGAACTAATTCAAGATCTAATGGCATTTCCGGTGGATTATAGTAATACTGGAAAGGATTGAATTTATTTACGTCATCGCTTGACGACTCGCCTGAACTTTCATTTTGTTCTTCGCTCTGAAAAAAATTGATTAAAATAAAATATAATTTTATTGTCGTTTAAAAAAAGAAAAGAGATTTTTTACCTCTGCAATTTCGCCTAGCCAGCTGGTAACTGGAAAGAATATCATATCATTTTTAGATACCGATGATTGATTTCGTTTATTTCGCTTATTAGAGACGCAATTTTCAATTCCAATAATTCCAATTTCCTGTTCAAGTGGAGTTGCAAAATTATCATTTGGTCCTACAACTGATTCGTTTTTCGTTGATGGTATTCTGTGGGAAATGAAAAAACAGGTTAATATTTAAATAAACAAAAATAAAAAATCGTATTTTAAAAAATATACATACATATTTTGTCTGAGCTCGGAGCCTTGATTATGAGACATGACAAAATCGCCAAATTGATTGTAACGTAAGCCACTGAATTGAGTAGCGAAAATTGAAATAAAAGGACCGAGAATTTGATGTGCTGATGTTCGCACCCATTTTGATTCGTCCGTTAATTGATCCAATAGCAATTTTGAGAGTATCATTCGATATTTGTAAATTGTAACGCAGGAAGCAACTGACAGCATCACATCCACACATGCTTTTCTTACGCCCCACACGTCGTCTATACATAAATTTATATATTTCGGCAGCTGTAAACAAAATTTCAGTTATTAAAATAATTTTCAAAATATGTAAAAGGAATAAATTTACAAAATAGAAATTACAGGCTTAGAAACCTTTTTTTAAACGAATGTTTACTCAACGGAATTTTCAAAGTACGGAATTTTTATTTTTACAAAATTTCTCATTACCCAACTGTTTCTTGAAAAGAATTCTAATTTAATCTATTTTTAATTTATTAAAATTCTCATTCAGTAGAATTTTAAGTAATTCGAATTTTTAAATCCTAGAACTTGGAATCGGAAGCTTATATAAAATATTTAGTATTTTAATTAAAAATTTCTAAAATTTGTATCTAAAATTCTTTGTTAAATTAATAATTTCAATAAATTTTATCCAATTATTCAAAAATTTAATTAAATAAAACATTTTTTAATTAAAAATTCTCTAAAATTCAACTACTGTTTGAAACTTTGTGAATAATTTTCAGTAATTCTAATTTACTAAAATTTTAATTTAAAATTTGAAATTCAATTATTATTAAAAATTGTGATTCAAATTTTTCTTGAAATAATTATTTCTAATAACTTTAATCAAGATCAAATTGTCGAGCTTTTAGAAATTAAAAAAAAGCACTAAAATTCTTGAATTCTGTCAATTTTAAAATTATTTTTTGAAAAAAGTAGCTTTTGGCCAAAATTAGTAGTAAAAGAAAAGTATCAAAAAAGGAAAAAAATAATGTGTATTACATCAAAGCCTGAAATTAAAAAAAATATTTATAATAAAACAAATTTTGTGCCACTCACCAATTTTTCATAAACTATAGATTTTGAGATGTTTGCACAAATTTCTCCTAAATACGAAGCACAGACTTTTCTCACAAAAAATCTCTCGTCCTCGCAGAGATCCAAATATCTGTCCAGTAAAACATTCTCGAGCACCTCACTTCCAAGATATGGTCCCAATTTACTCATGAGCTGTCGAAACAAAAAGGAAAATAAAATTAGAAACATTTTTTTTTTTTTTATGAAAATGAGGTAAAAATTTAAAGTACGTTTCGATTTTCTTAGAGAATTGTAAAAAAAAAGGTAAGTAATGAAGAGTAAAATTGAAAGAAATTGCAGGAAGATTTTTATCGTACCGTTCCGCTCATCAAAGCTGGCTGTGATATGAGTCGAGGTACCACATCACAACCACTCTGACGGGTGGAACAATCGATCTTGCCTTTGTACAGTCCAAGTGGTATGTGTTCCATACATACAGTCGAGGGAAAGATTTTTGAAAATCGTAGAACGAATTTTAACGAATTTCGAAAAATACAAAAATCAGAAAAATGATGTAAAAGTTGAGAAAAATAATGCCGCAACGCTCATCAAAGCTGGCTGTGATATGAATATAAAAAAATCAACATACAACAGCCACTTTGTGAGCGATGCAAACATTTCTTGGCTCTTTTTTCTTCGACGTTGAGAATTCATTGTTGAAAAACGGAATCCAACTCGTCAAAAATGGCTGTGATATGAATGTCAGAAAGCAACACGCCACAACCAATTTGACGATTGGATCACGTTTTAATTGTTTCCTCAAAAACGTGTCCTCGGCATCTGAAAAAAAGGCGAGAGGGCAAAAAAAAAAAAAATTACAAAAAAAATTAAGGGAAAAAATTACATATATGAAATGTTATATATAGTTACAATGTTGAAATATCCGAGTCGATAAATTCTACGAGCCAAGCTCATCAAAGTGGCTGTGATATGACTTGAAACATTCCACAACCAATTTGATGTTTCGGACCGCAAAAGTACTTTTGTTGCTTCTCTCTTCCTTCTTTTATAATTTTTTTTTCCAATCCTCTTTCTCTCTCTCTCTCTCTCTCGAGACTTGTTTTTTAAGTATTAAAAACTCTCGTTGACATTGAACACAATTTTGCTCATCAAAGCTGGCTGTGATAGGTAATCTCTATGACAAACCAACTTTGATGGTAAAAGCATGCCCACACAATTGTTGACAATTTTTTTTTTTATATTTATATTTTTTAATGGATGGATTTAATTTTTTAGAATTTTTTTTTTTGGATGAATCACAGTTTGAAGACAAGACGAACGCTGCATGAAAGACAAGGTAGTGAGACGCGAACGCTAAATGAACATCTCACTACCCATGTCTTTCATTCAGAATCCGCCATCGATCTTGTTCTTCGATTTCTTCAGTTGCTGGAAATACTTTTTTTTCAAACATTCGTCTCCGACAAGATAGTTAAGATTTTTATCATAAGAAACGTATTTTCGTGACAATACAGAAAAAAAAATTGAGGACTCGACAATTTACAAATAAGAAAAATAGAATTTTTTTCTTTTTTTTCGAAAAATAGTAATTCAACAATTTGCAAATAAGAAAAATAAATTTTTTTCTTTTTTTTTGTAAAAATAGCAATTGTTTGAAAATATATTTTCAAAATTAGAAAAATAAATTGTGAAACAAAATTTTTAAAATAAATACTAAAAATAAATACTAAAAATAAATTTTAAATATAAATTATAGAAATAAATTTGAATAATCTAAATACTAATAAATTGTTTAAAAAAAAAAATGTAAACTTACAACAATAGCAGTGTTGAGAAATCCAACTTGCAAATACGTCATGTTGAGGATCACAGGACAGACTTCGACCTCGAGTTGTTTTTTCGTTAGAATCCCACGTTCCACGATGGCGATTAGGGCTGCTTGCGCCGTTTGTCGCACCTGCGATGAATTTTCCATCATTAATTTTCAAACCAAATGCTCTTCAATTTAGAATTATTTCAACGTTTTTTTTTTTTCTTTTATTTTTATTTATTTATTTTTTTTTTATTTTCTTTCAAATACGAATTTTTTTTCGACATAATTATTAATTTTTCATAAATACCTGATTATCCAAGTCTCGAAGATATTTGAGAATGATCCCAATGATGTAGCAGGATAAAGCGTCCCCAAAAAGTTGGGGCGTTTCCTGGCATATTATCGCCACATGTGGAAGCTGTTCAACTAAATCCAACCTAATTGATGGTTCTGAAAATAAAACGGAAGTTGTTTAATTTCATTTCTTTTTCGACTATAATTTCAAACGAAAAAAAAAAAAAAAAAAAAAAAAAAAAGTTCAATGCAATATCTATTTTTTTTTCTCATTTCAAAACCATTAACTGCATCGGAAGACAAAATTCACGTTTCACTCTTATTTACAGGAAAAAATTACCGTTAATATGAAAATAGTTTTACTAATTTATCCTTTTTTTTAATTCACACTTTAAAATTACTATTTTAATTGAAAATAATTATTTTATTTATTCAAAATAAATAAAGAAATTTCTTTCGAATTTTGACTCGAAAAATATCTGTGGGGGGGAGAATTTTGTTGGTAATGAAAATAATAAAATTACTTTCGCTCAAATGGAACATTCCATCGAATTTTGGGAATGAAATTATTTACAATATTTACACATGACATCCCCCTCCCTCGTCCCCTTTCCTCAAAAATGATACTTTATTTTGTGCCCCGAAGGCAACTTTTACGAATTTTGTCTGCTCAGTGAACTTTGAGTGTAGAAACACCTCATCGTTTTTTGAGTTTGCGATCAACCATCAAGGCGACCATACGAGATTTCCACATGAATGTACATGACTGAACTTCTTTCGTCAAGATGCTATTGATCTCAGATGGAGAAGAAAACTTTTCAAATTCCTCAGCAATTTTCCCCATTATATGCATTTGTGATAAAAAAAAAAAAAAAAAAGAATAAAAATGAAAACAACACCGAGAAAAGTTTTTTTTTTTTTTTGAAAACTTGCGTAAAAATAGAAAAAAAAAAACTTTATTAAAAAGTATTTTTTCATTATTTTACAAATTATTAAAAATTACAATTTGTAATTTTGAATTTAATTAAAAATTACATTTCAATTTTTTTGTGTTTTATTTTTTAATTAAAAATCACATAAAAGTGGAATTTTTCGAATTTTCATGAATATTTGAAAAGATCTGAGAAGTTTTAAAAAATCATAAAACTTAAGTTATTTTTTTTTTTCTTCTTCTTTAATCTATTTCATTCCAGGAACTAAGGAAAAGAGAGGCTATTATCTATTAGGATGGGTTTTCTATTTTCAAAAAGAAACGAAACCTGTTGGCAGTGAGGAACGAGGAAGAGGAGAAGAAGAACAAGACGAAGGGTGCCAAGGTTTCAAAAATTTCAATGAAAAGAAGCACCGCAAGGTTTGTTGCAGATTAAGAGGGGAGGGAGAGAAACTCGCACCTTTCCCTTTTTCCCAAATTCTAAACCCCAAAAAAAGAAAGGTATTCGCGTCCCGCAGTCATTAGAAAAAATATTGAACGCTTTTGAAAAAAAGAATTTTCAAATCAATATGAGAATTTTTCTTCATAAAAAATTAAGATAATAATTTAAAAATTTGATAACAATTTGGAAATTGGAAATCGAAAATTGAGAAAATTTTTTTTTTATTTAAAATAAATCGTAACGAATTAGGACAATTTTTTAGAAGTAAAATTTTGAATTTGAATTTCCGAATTTTCAAAAATTGGAATTTTAGTTGAATTTTTGGGTATTTTTCCAGTATTTTTTTTTTTTTTTTTATAAAAATCCCTAATTTTCTTAATTTTTTCCCTAACTCTAATGGAAATATTTCAAGAGGTTTTTGAATTTTAGAAAATTAGAACAATTTTTAAAAGTAAAATTTTAAATTGAAATTTTTGAATTTTCAAAAATTGGAATTTTAGTACAATTTTTAGAAATTTAGTATTTTTCCAGTATATATATATTTTTTTTAAATAAAATTCCCTGTTTATCTCAATTTTTTCCCTAACCCTAATGGAAATATTTCAAAAGGTTTTCAATTATAGAAAATAAGGAAAAATTTTAGAAGCAAAATTTTGAATTAAAAATTTAAAAATTGTAATTTTAGTAAAATTTATAAAAATTTGGAATTTTTCTAGTATTTTTTTTTTTTTTTTGTAAAATCCCCCGATTTCTAGTTAGAATTTAAATTTTTTCTCCCACCTAATGGAAATATTCCAAATTTTCAATTGTAGAAAATTTCAAAAATTGCAATTTTAGTATCTTTTTCGAAATTCAATATTTTTCCAGTACTTTTCATAAAATTCCCCCAATTTCCCTGACCCCTGCAAAAACACCTCTAGAATAATTTTTTCAATATCGAATTCATTAAAAAAATTTCAAAATAAAAAATTGTAAATTAAAAAAACGCGTAAAAATATTGAATGTGGAAAAATTCAAATAAAATTTTTAAATAGGAAATTAAAATAAAAAAATTTTCTCAGACGTTAAACATTTTCGAAAAAAAAAACCAATTTAAAATTTTTGATTATCAAAAAACACTTTTCGAATCACATTGAAAACTTACTTATCACTTGATGCAATTATTTCTTATAAAAATTATCAAATAAACACTTTTGTTTCGACGCGGAATTTTGTAAAAAATGGAAAACAACATTTTTAAAATTATTTTCCGAAAAATAATAGATCACGATGTTACCCGAAAGAAAGTGTGGGAGCGACTGGTTGGAATTTTGGGTTTTAGTTATAGGCACACAACCATCGGTGCTCAAAAGAGAGAGAGAGAGTTTTTCTTTGGCGGGAAGCAGAAAGTCGATCCCCACTCTTTTGAAAAAGAGGAAAATGAGGGATGTCAGTTGACGGGGCCCGAGGGTGGTAAAAACCGGTCTTTAATGAAAAGGAAAAGCGGGCGGTAAAAGTAGACAAGCTGCCAAAATGTTCTTTCGAAGAGCACGTGCCCCTCGTCATCTGCTCGATGGATTAAATTTTTTTAAGGAAATCCGGAAAATATTAACTCCAAAAATAAATTTTTAGCCCCTTGAATATTATTTGTATTTCCCTTTCAAAAATTCGTCAGTATAATTTTGAATATATTTTTTTTTCTTCAAATAATTCTACAATTACAATTTTTTTTTTTTTTTAATTTTACAATTACAATTTTTATTTTTCTAATTTCAATTTTTAATTTTCTATTTTTAATTTTTCAATTTCAATTTTTATTTTTCCAATTTCAATTTTTATTTTTCCAATTCCAATTTTTAATTTTCTATTTTTAATTTTTTAATTTCAATTTTTATTTTTCCAATTTCAATTTTTAATTTTCTATTTTTAATTTTTAATTCTTTTTTTTTGATTTTCTAATTTTAATTTTTAATTTTCCATTTTTAATTCTTCAATTTCAATTTTTATTTTTCCAATTTCAATTTTTAATTTTCCAATTTCAATTTTTAATTTTCAATTCTTCAACTTCAATTTTTATTTTTTCAATTTCAATTTTTAAGTTTCCATTTTTAATTTTTAATTTTTAATTCTTCAATTTCAATTTTTATTTTTCCAATTTCAATTTTTATTTTTCCAATTTCTATTTTTAATTTTCCAATTTCAATTTTTAATTTCCTATTTTTAATTCTTAATTTTTCAATTTCAATTTTTCGAATTTCAATTTTTCGAATTTCAATTTTTCGAATTTCAATTTTTAATTTTCGAATTTCTAACAAAATTAAAATTTAGAAAAACAAAAGTGTGGAATAAACAAAATTACGTGGTTTTGATCTGCCTCAAAAAAAAAAAAAAAAAAAAAAAAAAAAATAAGAAGGGAATCGAATATTTTGTTTCGAAATCATTCGGAGAAAAAGGGTCCTATTAACCGGGTTAGACTGGGTCAGGATCGAAATTTTTTTTTCCCTTTATTTTATCACAGCACGTGCCGTCTTTTTCACTCTAACCACCCTTATTTATTACTCCCGATTCATTACTCATCCATTCTGAACAATCTTTTTTAGAAAGGATATATCGTGAAAAAAATCCATGATTCATTTCAACTCTGATTTATTTCGTTACCCACAAATGTCGCGTTATAAATTATTGACTTGGAGATTTCATATTGAATTAGAAAAAAAAAATGGGTCAAATTATATTAGTAATTTATTAATTATTAATTAGTAATTTCTAATTTATAAATTATTAATTATTAATTTCAAATTTATAAATTATTAATTAGTAATTTATGAATTAGTTATTAATTAATTATTAATATTTACTAAATAATTTTTTAAAAATAAATATTACTTTTGCACTAGAAGAAAGTTTTAAAAAAAATTTTTTTTTTTTTTTTTTTTGGTCTAATTAACAAAAACATTCGTCTATTCAATACGAGAATAAGAGTACATACAGGAAATGAGATAATTTCTTCCTTCCGGAATCATCCTAAAAATAAAGAAAAATACGTGACTGGAAAAAATTTCTGGCGTGTCGCGTGCCCCTTAATTTTTTTTTTTTTTCGACCCCCCATCAAAAAACATTAAGATACACACCACGTGTTTTTAAAGTCAAGATGCTGTTGCGGATGTTGTTCTAAAAATATAACGAACAAGATAGAAAGTAACTCGTCGTATTCTATAATATAATGTGCAATTATTTATTTTTTTGAAATTTGAAACTATTTTTCAAAATCAACAAACAGAAATTCTAGGGGGCATTAAAATTTTTTTTTTTTTTTAAATTCAAATTATTATTTCAATTAATTTATAGCAAAAAAAAAAAATTAATTATTAATTGACTTATAAAAAATAAAAAAAAAGAGAGAAGGGGCATTTTTTTTTAAATTCAATCAATAATTAATTTATTGAAGGAAAATTAATTAGAATTGCATGGAAAAAAAATCTTTATTTGAATCAACGATATGTTTCTCCAGCAAAAGGGAAAACTTTCGCTGTTTTTAGTGATATAGCTATTTAAGTGAAATTTATATCGTTGTTTCAGGCAAATATTTTTCTTTTCCGTGTGACTTATAAAAATAAAAAAATAAAATATAAACAAAATAAAGAAATTAAATAATTAAAAAAAGAAAATTCTACTATTTTTACGTTTAAAAAAAAAAAAAAATAGATTTAAAGTTTTTGTCACTGTAGCAGATTTTTTGCTTTTCATTTATTGTTTAATTCCGCAAAACCAATAGAGTGTCTAATATTTCTCCTGGATCCTTTGGGACATTGAAGTACGAGTATTGCTCGAATAAGGAAACTTTTCACGTTTCTTCGTTTACTGCGAAAGAAATGGGCTTGCTTTGCAAAAAAATAAAAATAAAAAAAAAAGTAACGAGAGAAAAGCTGAGTTAAAAAGAAAAAAAGAGTTATCCCCATTTTCTCCTTCTCTCAATTCTTGGAGGGGCAAAATATATTAAAATAAAAAAAAGAAAAAATATAAAGGGGTTGATGATCACGAACTATATGGAGGGGTTCTTGACGTTTTCTTCTCTTTAAATACTGTATATGTATATACATATATATATATAAAAATATATTCTAGCTTCCTTCTTCATCTCCTTATATTCTCCACTCAATTTTTTTTTTTTCTTTTTTTTTCTCTCTTGAAGCCATCGATGACTTTCAGCTGAGCACGTGCCCCACCGGAAGTGCAGAACAGTCTTTCGTCACCTCTCCCCTCTTTTTTTTTTTTTTTTTTTTTTTACCAAACCAGCTGCATTCCCTGTATGTTATTGCCTTAAAAGGAACTGAGTCTCTATTTTTAATTTTAAGTGGATTGTATATCCTCTTTCCTTATTTTCATTTTTTTCGAAGATAAAAAAAAAATTTTTAAGATAAAAACATTTTTTTTTTTAATTTTTCCTATTTTTTGTAATCAATATTAATTTCTAGTTTCTAGTTTTCTTTATCAAAATAAAAATTTCTAGTTTTCTTTTTTTATACATATAGGGAATATTTCTAATAATTTTTAAATTAATTAAAATTAATTCAATTTTAATAAATGGATTTTTTTCGAAATACTTTTTTATTTAGACAAACGGCTACTTATTTTTATAATTAAACATTAATTTCTATTTATGTTTAATTAGACAAATAATTATCGACAATAATTACCTATAATAATAATAATAATAATAATAATAATAATAATAATAATAAAAATAAAAATAAAAATAATAATAATAATAATAATAATAATAATAATAATAATAATAATAATAATAATAATAGTAATAATAGTAATTGTTACAATTATTGTTTAATTGTATAAAACAATAATTGTTAATAATAATAATAATAATAATAATAATAATACACACCCAGGGAAAATATATATTTCTCTCAGAGCAAAATAAATTATTTATTTGATTTAAATGAAAATTTTATTTATGACAAATAAAATTTTTACTTACGCCAAATAAATGGACTATTGGTTCTGAGACAAATATACGTTTATTTAACTCAAATATATTATATTTGTTTCAAATAACACATTTCTCTGGATGTAAAAATAATAATAATAATAATAATAATAATAATAATAATAATAATAATAATAATAATAATAATAATAATAGTAATTGTTACAATTATTATTTAATTGTATAAAACAATAATTGTTGATAATAATAATAATTATTATTATTATTATTATGATTATTATTATTATTATTATACATTGTAGTATTAGTAGTAATTGCTACAATTATTACTTAATTATATAAAAATAATAAATTATATATTATATTTATATATTATAAAAGTTTATGTACACTAAGAGAAATTGTATATTTGTCTCCGAGCCTACTAATTTATTTATTTGTTGCAAATATATTTTATTTCATTTAAATAAACAATTTATTTGAGCCGAAGAAAAATTTATTTTTGACAAATAAAATTTTTATTTACGTCAAATAAATAAGTTAGTTTATAGGCTCTGAGAGACAAATATACATTTATTTAAATCAAATATATTTTATTTGGTTCAAATAAATCATTTCTCTGTGTGTATAATTAAAAAATAGGTTTTAAAAAAAAAAGTATTTCGAAAAATTTTGCTATTAAATTCGCCAGCTATTGAAATAAATTATTAATTTAATTATTATATAATCTATTGGAAAAAATAATTATAAATTGAAAATATTGAAAATAAAATTATTAAAGCAGTACACCTAATTATATATATATAGATATAAAGTGTAGGAGCAGAAAATACTGTTTCTATATAATATATATTAAATAAGGGTTAAAGCATTTAAATTATTAAATATACTTAATCGTGCAAAGCAAAAAATTTTTTTCTCTTTCTTTTTTTTTTTAATTTATCAGATGTGTTTTATTGTTAATCGTATAGTGATTTATTACATGCACTTCTATATATATATATATATATATATATATATATTGAAATTATTTGTGAATTAAATTAATTTTATGCGTAAATCAGGATTTGACTCAGTTGGGCGATTTTTCAATCCTGTTACACATTAATATTGTAATATTACAATTTTTTCAAAAAAATTTGTTAGTTTTTTTTCTCCCCCTTTTAATTGATTAAAAAGCAAAAAAAAAAGAGTACAGGTGCGAAAAGGTGCAAAAATAGTGTAAACATTAAATTTCTGAAAAAAAAAAAAAAAAAAACTGTTAAAGGTGCGAGAATTTAATTATAGAAACATTTCCGAAAAATAATTCAGTAATTCGGTATAATGTTAATACAAAAGTGCAAAAAAATTTATATTGCACTTTTTTTCCATTTTTTTTTTTTTTGTGTACAAAGAATTTAAATTCTCTGTTAACATATGTGATTTCTGTATATAATGTAAATGTAATTCAATAATAAAATGTAATAATTTAATGCAATTGTGTTATGGAATAATGTAATTGTAAAATTGTAATTGTAATTGTAATAAAATATAAATTTAGAATGTGAAAAAGAAATAGAAAACGGTGAGACAGAAAATTTGAAAAAAATATTGTGCAAAAAGGTTGTTTATAAAAGAGTTTATACAGTTTATAAAAGAGACTACACTGTAAATAAAAATTTGTATTACTAAAATAAATAATTAATTGCAATTGATAAATTTTTAAAGCACTAATTGCTCTAAAAAAAAAAAAAAAAAATTTCTTCAATTCTAATTTTTAGCTCCATTTTTTGTTTCAATTTCCAATTAATTGACGAAATGAAATAAATGGATTTTAAAACAAAATTTTATCAAAAATCAAATGAAATTAAGAATTAAATAAATAAATTAAATTAATTAATAATATATCAATTAAATAAATAATTATACCTGGATCACTGACGATTTGGTTGACCGTATTAAATACTTCGTCAACATTTAATTCGCTATTTGATTCAACTGCAGATTTAAAATATTCCAGCAGGATCCTTCCGACCATTTGCCTGTAAAACAAAAAAAAAAAAGAGATTTATTATTATAATTTATTATTCTGTAATTATTAATTTTAAATTAATTATTCAATTAATTAATTGTAATTAATGATAAAATTGGTACAATTAATTATATTAAATATTAATTTTATTAATATTTATTAATTATTATCTATATGTATTTAATTAATATTTATATTTATTTTCATAATTTTTTTTTTTTCCAATGATGTATATTAAATTAATATTATTTCTCAAAAAAAAAAAAAATTTAGTTTTGAGTGTTCTAAATATTGTTCAAGTGGCAGTAGAATTTTCCAATTTTCAACATTTTAACTAAAATAATTTGTCTTTTGTGTAAAATGCAACCAAATTTAACTTGAAATCTATAATGAAATACTCAACCTGTTGTGCGCTTGTCAAGGCTCTTCTATAAACAGATGGCACTTGAAGTATATAATTTCTATGGCAACCATAAAACTGGACCCACAATCACCACAACAGGTTGAATATTTCGTTATTTTGTTTTTTTTTTTTTTACCCAAAAATTCGTCAAACAAAAATTTAAACAAAAAATAAGTGTAATTGAATCAATAAATTCTTGATTTATAAAAATTTCTTATTATTAAAAATTAGCAAAATTTTTAATTAAATTTAATAATTATTATCTTTTAAATTATATTAATTATTATATTTATAATTATTACACGGATAAAAAAGATTTACCTGGAACAGCGAAATGTTTCACTATATGGTAGCAAAAGTTTTACTTGCGTTTCAGTTAAATCTTTCGCTATTCTAGTAAAACCTTTCGCTGTTTCAGATAAATATTTCTTTCCATGTAAATTATTAAATATTTATTTACTATCGATTATTTCTCTTGAAAAATGGTTGAACTAATTATAAATTGATCAAATTTTGATTGATTCAATTTTATTTTGCATTAAAAAAAAAAAAAAAAAAGAAATTCTGCCATATTCTAAAAATTCAAATTCGTCTAAAAAAAATAATTATAATAAAATTCTTTAAAAAAAAAAAAAATTCTAACTATAGTTTTTTATGGATTTTTTATTCGCCCTGAATTTCTATTGTACAGAATTCCGAACGTCAAATTTTTATTTTCCCAAAATTGAAAATGACCACAAAAATATAATTGTCAGAAAAATTTTTTGGCGCAATTTTTAAAATTTACAATTTTCTCAACAATATAGTTTTGATTGGTAAATTTTTAAAAAATTGCGCCAACATTTTTCTGCAAATTATTTTTTCGGACATTTTTAATTTCGAATAAATAAAAATTCGTTTAAAAAGAAATATTCCATCAAATTTTGAATAGACGTTTAAAAAATTTAATTACTGTAGAATAAAATATTTTTTGATTGTTTTCATTAAATTAAATTTTTTTGATATTTGTATTTTTTTCAATCTATGTTAAAAAATTAGGTATAAAATATATTTAAAAACATTTTTTTTTTTTTTTTTTTTTATTAGAAATTGTTTCAAAAACGAGTAATAGGGAAAAAAATCTTTATTTCGAACAGCGATATATGTTTCATTAAAACAGCGAAAGTTTTTCGTTATTCTAAAAAAACTTTCGCTATGTTTTAAGGAAACATATCGCTGTTTCAGGTAAATATTTTTTTTCCATGTGAAATAGTAACAAGTTTTTCGCCATATTATATATGGAAAAAAAAATCTTTATCCATAACAGCGATATGTTTCTTTAAAATAGCAAAAACTTTCGCTATCTTAGTGAAACATATCGCTGTTGCAGGTAAATATTTTTTTCCCTGATGAAATAGTAAAAAAAAAAAAAACAGTTTTTCCCATATTATATATATGGAAAAAAAAATCTTTACCTGTAACAGCGATATGTTTCTCTAGAATAGCAAAATACTTTCGCTGTTTTAGTGAAATATATCGCTGTTCCAATGAAACTTATCGCTGTTCCAGGTAAATATTTTTTTTCCGTGATGAAATAGTAAAAAAAACAGTTTTTTTCATTATATACACAGAAAATTTTTTTTATCTAGAACAGCGATATATGTTTCTCTAGAGTAGCAAAATACTTTCTCTGTTTTAGTGAAACATATCGCTGTTCCAATGAAATTTATACCTGTTTCAGATAAATATTTTTTCTTCGTATAAATTTTGAAATAAAAATTCTTTCCCCCCCCGAGAAAATGAGTCGAAATTTTTTTTTCTGGGCATATTAAAAGCAAAATTAAAAATTCATAGTAAAAAAAAAAAAAAAATGAAAAAGTAGTCAAATCGATAATTTCCGGCTTCATTCGGGCAAAAAAATCGTTTTACCGAAAATGGTCGGCAAGTATGTTTGTGATGTAAAAAAGAGGGGCGGAATGCTACATATACATATTTGAGGGGAAGAAAATCACACACACACACATATGACTTCTCCCTCGTTTATATACATATTCGCAAAGGAATGAGAAAGAGAGAGAGAGAAAAGACGAGTATCGTTCTTCCAATGAGTATCGAGAATGGAGGGGAAACATGTGGCATAGAAAGAGGTGGCACTACCAACGAGAAATGCTTCTTTGGTCCCCCACTGTAGGCTCAATGATTTTAAGTGGGGGTAAGACTTTCTCCCAAGTTGTTGGAGAATGGGCTTTAAGTTGTTACCGCCCGCCACGCCTACCACACCCGCGCAAACATGGCCGCCGTGGTTTCCTCGCTTCGCTCTCTGTGCCCTGTGAAAACTTCTCTCAGAGAGAACTCACTTCTCTCTCTCTCTCTCTCTCTCTTTCTCTCTCTTATATATATATATATATATATATATTCCCCAGCAGGATATAACATATAACACACGCCATTTGCGTAAACGCGCGCTTTCTGCGTCGCGAGCATGCGATCTACAGTCGTAACTGCGTAGTGCGTGAAAAACTTGCGCGTATATGGCCAAAATTTTTGGGCGGATGCCTTTCCCGCTTTTCCAATTTCGCGCCAGATGTTCAAATCAGAAAGAAAAAGAGAGAGAGAGAGTCCTCTCTCTTTCAACGAATTTTGGGGGTTGAAAAAAAGAAGGCATAGAAAAAAAAAAAAACCGATAATTGATGGTCTCTCTGTGTGTATGTGTGTGTGTGTGGTCTCAGCTATAAGGGGGGCGATTCATTGATTATTTCGGAAATTTTCTCCCATTATGGGGCAAATTTGCCAAAGGCGCCCTATATATATATATTTGAATCGTGCGCAAAATTACAATGACTTCATTTAGAGATTGACGAAAAAAAAATTGACAATTTGTAATTTTTTTTTTTTTTTTTAATCAAAAAATAGTTATTGCACTAATTACGGCGCGATTCGAGTTAAAATATCTTTGAAATTGAAAATTCGACATTATTTAAACAAATATGAGAAATTAAAACAAATTTTCTACACTGAAAAAAATAGTATTAAATTAAGAAAACCTATATATGTACTTCACCGTATTTTATACCAATATTTTCTTGATCCAAGAAAATTTACTTCAAACTATTAAAAATTTCTTGGATCAAAAAAATATTGGTATAAAATACGGTCAAGTACATAGGTTTTCTTGATTGAATACAATTTTTTTTTTTTCAGTGTACACGCAAAAAAAAGTAATTGCGCTTACAGATGTTAAAACTGATATTTGCTATCGGATCTTGCAAAATTAGTAATCACAGCTAAATTTTTTTCTATGACAACGAAAAAGTTTGCTATGATAAACAATATCAGTGTTAATTTTTAAACATTTACTGTTACAGCAAACTTTCTTTGATTCCAAAGTGCAAATTTGTTCGCTGTCCCTATATATTATAGCTAACGTAATTTGATGTGACAGTAAATATTTCGCTGCCACAGCAAACTTTTTTCTATGCGTGTATTATGGCGCGTTTGTATCAGTTTCGGTGTATCAATTACGGTATGACCAAAATAACGTAGTGTATACTTTTGCCCACCGTAATTGGAGCCGTAAATCTTAAATGTTTCAAATTACGGCGAGGGAAAAAATTTAATCTTAATTAAATTAATAATTTTGTTTAAATGTGCATATCTTTATTAGTAATTGTATAAAAAAAAAAAAAAAAATTGAAATAAATTTTTTAAAATCATTTTGCAACAATTATATTAAATATATAATAGTATAATAATATAGTTATTTTTTATGAACGCACCGTAATTGATGCACTTACCCCTCTATATAGCGATAGTCGCATACTAAACCAAAATAATTAAAATTTTAAATGAATACTAGTCGAAAAATCAAAAATAATTAAAATTTTAACTAGCAATAATCACTAATTTAAAATAGTTAAAAAAAAATCAAATTAGTAGAAATTACTAAATCAAAATTGTTAAAATTTTAAAGTCACTAAACAAAGTTAATTAAAAATTTAACTATGTAATTAAAAAATGGTCGAAAAATTCAAAAATAATTAAACATTTATAATTAGCAAATAGTCGCTAAATCAAAATAGTTGAAATTTTACCTACACAGGAAAAACACCAGAATTGGTGTTAAAATAACACGCAACAAATTTTACCCTAAATCTGGGTTAAATCTTATGGGTTTTAGCATTGGAGAAAATTACCCGCAACAAAAATAACACCATCTTTTTTCTGTGTAGAAATAGAGTCACAAAATCAAAATAGTTAAAATTCCAATTTAGTAGAAATTATTAAACTAAAATAATTAAAATTTAAAAAAATTTTTTTTATTTGAATGAAATATAAATTATTTGCGGTTCAAGTAAATATTTATTTGATAAGAGTAAAGTAGTCAATTATTTGAATCAAATATATATATATATATATTTAAAGTAATATTGACTGAACCAGAATAATATAAATTTTTACTAAATTACAGTTATTCAAAAACAAAAAAAAATAATTTCTTTGTTTTCTTTTTAATTCAAAAATTGTGGAAATAGTTGAAAATAATAATAATAATAATAATAATAATAATAATAATAATAATAATAATAATAACAACAATAATAATAAAAATAATGATTATTATTAGTTAA